TGCACAAAGATTAATTTATATCTACTAATTTTGAGGGTTCCTGTTATAATGATAACACAGCTGTATTTACTCATCTGTTGCTTTCACCTATACAGTTCTTTGGATTTTAATAATTCACCTGTGGCAGCTAAATATTCATCCTTGACACTAAAATCCTGTAGATCCTCTTAGACTTCTACATATACAATTAGGTGCACTGTGAAAAATAGCAATTTTATCTCTTCCTTTTTTTTTTTTTTTTTTTTTTTTGCTTTTTTACTTGTTTGTTTGTTGAGACAGGGTTATGTTATATAGTTTAGGCTTGCCTTGAATTCACTGTGTAGCCCAGGCTGGTCTTAAACTTACTGCAGTCCTCCTGCCTCAGCCTCCTGAGTGCTAGGATTACAGGTGTGTGCAGTCATGCCTGGCTTAAATGTTTTATTTCTTTTTTTTTCCTTATTACACTGTCTAGGACTATCTGTAAGATGTTGAAAGATGTGCTATTATACGGCATGCTAGCATGCCCAAGCCTTGGGTTCAGTCATCAGCACCTCCAAAAACCACAGAAATTGGCAATCACCTTTGCTTTAAAGTGATCGAGGTTAATGTCACCAGCAATAACTCCCATTAATATCAAGAAGACTGGCAAATCTTTCACAGATTCCCCCCTTAGGTCCATAATTTCAGTCTTCCTTAGAAAACAGGCAAAGCAAATTTAGGTAGTTCTACAATGAGCATTGAGGTTATGGAAAGACGGAGAAACTGTCAAGTTGGTGAAGACCACAGACATCAGTGCAGTGTGGTGCCTAGGGGAAAGAGCACTAATGGAAAGACTGGTGTGGTCGCAGTGTCTGGGGCTGGTTTGTAGAACACTTGCCCAGCGTGCATGAAGTCCTGGGTCTAATCCCCAGCACCACGATGAGAAAGTAAATAAATATGTCAATAAAATTTACAAGACTTAAAATCACTTCTTTTTCTGTTTTTTTGAGAAATATTCTCACTACGCTAGTCAGGTTGGCCTTGAACTCACTTCACCGCCCAGGCTGAGCTCAAACTTGCAGCAATCCTCCTGACTCAGCCTCCCAATTCCTGAGGTTACAGGTGTGCGCCACCACGTCCAGCAAAACACTTCTAATGATGAAGGGCCGGATGTTTGTTTCTTTGTTTTAATTTCTCATCTGTCCTGGAATAATTCTTTTGCAATATGCAATAACTGAATTCCTATAAAAATGCATGTCTTAGATTATATTATTACATGTGTCCACAATAAGATACGGTTATGTTTCAAATTCCTGTACTTTCTAAATACTCTCAACTTTTACCTTATCTGTACTGACCTCACTGAGGACCATTAACAATAGTACACAGGCGAAGGTTTGTGGACCTCTGCTCTAGAATTCAGAAGTGAATGTGGATGTATAAAAACAGGTGCATTTAAAAAAAAAGGCGTGGGGCTGGGGATTTAGCTCAGCGGCAAAAGCGCCTGCCTGGCAAGCGCAAGGTCGTGAGTTCGGTTCCCGGTACCGGAGAAAAACCAAAAAAAATAAAAAAATAAAAAAATAAAAAAAAATAAATAAAAAAAAAGGCGTGCTAAAAAGGTGCATTAAAAATGGTGTGTTAGGGCTGGGGATTTAGCTCAGCGGCAAAAAGCGCCTGCCTGGCAAGCGCAAGGTCGTGAGTTCGGTTCCCGGTACCGGAGAAAAACCAAAAAAAAACAAAAAACAAAAAACGGTGTGTTAAAATTTGGTTATATGAGAAAGGTGCTATTGTTGATGAGTAAGAGAAGAAATGGCCTATGATCCCATAATCTAGGGTCGATAATTATAGACCTCACCCAGGCACTGGGAGACACAAGTCTTGTTTAATAGAGAAAAAGATAAACAAAGGGCGATGTTCACACAAAAGACAACTGATTTTTTCCTTCAGTTCCCGCGCATACATACAGCAGTTCCCTTGTCCATGGGGATTATCGTTCCAAGGTCTGAACCGATGCTTGAAACCAGAGACAGTAGATTTTTAAATAGACTACTTTTCTTTATACAGATATACCTATGATAAATGTTAGTCTATAAATTAGACACAGTAAAGATTAACCACAAAAAATAATGAACTAGAACATGTATAGTGTAAGACAAAATGGTCCTGTCTCTGTGTTTTGTTCTTTTTGAGATAGGGTCTCCCTGTGTCGTTAAGGTGGACCTTGAATTCACTATGTAGCAGAGGCTGGAATCAAACTCACAGCAATCCTCCTGCTTCAGCCTAACAAGTGCTGGGATTACCGGCGTGCACCACCACGCCCTGCAACTCTCTCTGTCCTGGACTACACTTGCCCCTCTTCTGATGGCAGGAGATGACGCGGTGCCCGTGCGGTGAGATGAGGTGGGAGGTGATGTCAGCTCCATAATACAGTATGAGGGGAGTACGCGAGTGTTACTTGAACACAAGTACCAAAGTGCTGTAGCAGCTGACCTAAGGAACTAATTGGAAAGAGGGATGGCTCCTGTCGCCCACGAATGGAGCAGGACACACCAAGATTTCATCACGCTACCCGGAATGCACACAATTTAAAACTCAGGAATTGCTTACTTCTACAAGTTTTCCCATAGTATTTTTGAACCCCAGTTGAACACAAGTAACCAAAACCACAGAATATGGAGTCGTGGATAAGAGGTAACAACTGTATTTAATTTCACCGAAAGTCTGGCACTGTCTTTCATCACAGGAAATATAGTATGGCCTTGCTCTGTAGCATCTCCAAGGTGAGACAAACATTTAAACTTCTTCAAGATTCAGCAAGTCTCAATCTGCTGAGTAAGTTACCCTTTGCTTGACCTTCCCCATCTCTATTCCAGCCTTAGCAGTGTGGTGCAGATCTAAAATGTGTCTGGCACTCTCGTGTTCAGAGGTGGAGTCTGAGGGGACAAGGCGTGTCACCATGCAGTCCCTTTGGAGAGCACAGCCCCTCCATGGGGCCTCTGTGCTCCCTCCTTCCTGACTGCCATAAGATGAACAGCTTTCTCCACTGAGCTCTTCCACCATGATGATCCTGCCTTGGAGCCCGAGGAGTCAGCGGCATTGAACCTCTCCTTTACATGATGGGTGTCGGGGATTTTGCCTCAGCCCCGAGAAAGCTGACTCACACACCCAAGTCGGGTGTGTCTGTGAAACATTCAGACCACGGAAGCATAACTAGGGCCTTCTCCTGCCCTTCACTGGGCTGTAGGATGGCAAAGGACAGGAATGAAATGAGTGTCTATTTCCCCCATTCTGAAGATCGAAGTCAGGGCCTGTGCATTCTCCACCAGGGCTCTAGCACTGCTCTATGCCCTCTGGCCCTTAAGGTTCTTTCCGGAGCATGCCATGCCATGATGCTCTGCAGGGCTTCTGGGTAGGACTGCGGACAATAACTGTCAAATTAACCCCGGTCCACCCTAGTGACAAGATATTTATAGAAGTGGTATTCCATGATATATTTACAACCTTTGCATGAGGCACATGAAAAAGATGGAATTGTGATCTGTCACTGTGTATCAGTTGATGCCTTTATCCTCTAGCTGGGGGAGGTGATAGGGAATTGGCTAGAAAAGTACAGTAGGTCTGGGGATATAGCTCAGTGACACAAGCACATGCCTAGTAAGTGCAAGGTCCCGAGTTCAATTCCTGGTACCAAAGAAAAGAAAGAAAGAAAGAAAGAAAGAAAGAAAGAAAGAAAGAAAGAAAGAAAGAAAGAAAGAAAGAAAAGGTAAAGTCCCCAGATGATTTAGCTGTGTAAAACCTGGAATCAAGGCAGAGGAAGAACAAAAGGCAGTACACTCAAACTCTCCAAGTCCTAAAAATTCAATTACCACAGTACACCTTGCCACAATGCTGCATCTCTAACTCTGTGGTCGCTCACCTGCCTGTGCTGGCACAGGATGGGTCCAGCCCTGAAGCCTGGGCTTCAGCCTGCCAGACGTTCCCTGTGCTCCATTCCTTCAGCGGTGCATCCCGCCAGGGTTCACAGCACTCCGTCAGAGCTGGCACACAGGAATGAGGACTCTGTCAGTTGAAAGGCATTCTCTGGGAGAATGCTACCTACCCAGGACAAAAATCCTTGACACAGTACTGCTTTTCATATATATATATATGCCCTTAAATTGTTTTTACATGTTTTTATCCTCTTGGCTCAGTCTCCTAAGGGCTGGAAAGTTCTTAAATTCTTGAACACAGGATAGTTCTTTCTCCTGAACCCTTAGAAGAAGGAGCCAAAGGGATTATTTCTCCTGTATGTTAGAACTTTAGGAAATGAAGAAAGTTCTAGAACTTTTATTGAAGAGGATTAGAGTCCTGTTAAGAGACACAGATATAAGTATTCCACTTGTTGTCTCGTGTGAAGCTGTGAAGTTTCAACTTGAGAAAGCTCCCTCTCCATGACTTTTCTCCCAGGAATGCCAATCACTGCACTGACCAATGCCTGCAGCGCACGTGGACAGGCAGAGGCTCACTCTGCTCTCACTGCTGTGGCTTCTACACCCTCATCTGGGAAGGTGGCTCTCACAAGGGCCGTTTCCAGCAGAGCAACCTAGCGTTGTCCCGGCTGCATCCCAGTTCCTGCTGAATGCCCTGCTGCGCTGTTGGTGCCCTCTTCTTCCCTTGTTCTTCACAAAGGGCGCTCTTAGCCCTCTGCTCAAGCTAAGTGCTGCTGAGTCGCTCTTTTTCCCCATCAGGAAGGCAGGGGAACTGAGGTCCTGGGGAGCAAGGCACACAGGAGCTCCGAACCCTGGTTTCAAGGAGCACCTACCAAAGCTGCGGTGCACATTCTGGCATTTGTATCAGGAATTCATGTTAAATGAGAAAAGCAATGCATAGAACCACCATATGCTTCCCTCCTGGTCTAAAGCCACACGAGAGCACAGACAAGGCTGCCCTGGAGACACGCTGACACTTTATTTGTATCATCTTAGGAAGGAGGTAGCCACAGCACCTTCAGGCTTTGCATCTCGAGCACAGGTGGAATCACCTCTGCCCCGAGCAGTGAACCTTCACTCCCAGGACAAAAAGTACACATTGCCCTGTGTGTCTCCCACAGCCAGCTGCAGCGTCGAGTCAGGTCCCAGGCACGGCTGCAGGCAGCTTACTGCCCCTTCGCACCAGAACAGGCCCAGCTAAAACAGAACACGGGGGTGGGGTGGGGGGAGCTGAGGGCCAGCTACCCACCCAGGCTCTCTTCAGTAATTTACTTTTTCTTTCACAAATAAATGCCTTTTATTTAGAAGCAGGTACACCACTCCAAAAGCAATGAAAGAAAATGCACTTTTGATCTTCTGTCTTTTCTTACCCAAATAAGTTCCCTTGTAACATCCCTTTGATCCCATCCTGTAAGTGTGCATGTACTCACACACATACACGCAGGAACATGTGCGTACACACATGCACACACTTACCAGCTGCATACTGGGTCTCGCCCATAGCTTAACATCTCTATCCCTCGAACCTGTCACCAGCATCCCAGGCAGCACATGGAGGGCTGTGACAGAGTCCGACTGAATCTGAGAGAGGAAGAGGAGACGTCATGCTGAATGCTCAGGACAGAGGCACTGAGGTCTGCTGGGTCAGCTCCCACCTCCTCCCCTACCTTTGCCACCCTTCCTTCCAACCCACCTTTCTACAATGCTGTATCTTTAACTCTGTGGTTGCCAATATGTCCATGCTGGCATAGGATGGGGCCGGCCCTGCAGCCTGGGCTTCAGCCTGCCAAATGTTCCCTGTGCTCCATTCTCCTTCAGGGGTGCATCCCGCCAGGGTCCACAGCACTCCATGGGAGTTGGCACACAGGAATGAGGACTCTGCCAGTTGAAAGGCAGAGTTGGAAACTGACCTGCGCTTCTGGTGATCCGCTCAACACACCCCCCACCCCAGGCACCTCAGGGCCTCTCTGGTCTTCCCAGCCCACTCACCAGATTCAGGTTTAGCCTGAGTTATCACTGCGGAGCTCCTACCAGGACACGGGGTAATTCATGAAAAATTTCAAATGATCTTCAAACTCTCCGGTTTCCTTTTGCTTCTGTGAAAGGTTAGGTACCTTGGATTAGTCTGCCCATAGCACACAACTCTGCCAGGTCAACCAGCAGTGCTCTGTCTAGGATGACCAGAACTTTGTAAAACCAAACTACGACATGGACATGGTACAGGTCACAATGGCTAAATGTCTAGCTCATGGGATTTTTATGTAACATTTACCCACCCAACCGTCCCTAGGTGAATAGAGTGCTTCTATCACCCCAAAAGTTGCCCTTTCTTCGACAGTACGAGGCCACCTCCAGAGGTAACAATATTCTGACTTCTGTCACCATAAGTGGGTTCTGCTTATTCTCTAGTTTTATTTAAATAAAATTATATAGTATGGACTCCTTCATGTCTGGCTTCATTTGTCCAGGATAATGGTTATGGCATGTTGTTCATTTTCTTTCTTGAAAGAGAGTCTCACTATACCATACAGGCTTGTCTTGAATGTATTTATTTATTTATTATTTGTTTGTTTTTTTCCGGTACCGGGAATTGAACTCATGACCTTGCGCTTGCCTGGCAGGTGCTGTGTTGCTGAGCTAAATCCCCAGCCCTTGAATGTATTTATGTAGTGTAGGCTGATCTTGAACTCATAGCAATCCTCCTGCTTCAACTTCCCAAGTGCTGGGATTATGGACGTGCACCACTATATCCACTTCCTGTTGCTCCTTTCACTGATACTCAGTACCACAGATCTTCCTGCCATGCATTATTCCATTTCATGAACACAGCATGATTATTTACCCTCTTCCTGTTTATAAACATGTGGATTGTTCTGGCCTTAATGAACAACACTGCTACAGACATTCTTGGTACCTATGTTTTGGAGAAAGATTTCTCTTAGGTGTCTAACTAGGAATGCAACAACTGGCTCATTGATACACTTCCTGAATAACTGTAATAGGAACTAGGTGAGGGTTTAGTAAGCTTCCAGAGGACATCAACATCTAGCATCGGAACAACCTACTCAGGAAGTGTTGCACGTCTGTGAGGTAAGTGATCAACATCACGACAGTGCTGGAGTATTCGCCCTGAAGATGCTAATACAGCCACAAGACAAAGAGAAATGAAAATGCAATTAGGAAACCTTCTAGCTGGGCGTGGGGGCACACATCTGTATTCCCAGCACTTGGAAGGCTGGGGCTGAAGATTGCCCTGGGCTCGAGGCCAGCTTCAGCTACATAGTGAGTTCAAGGCCTGCCTGAACTACACAGCGAGCCCCTGTCTCAAGAAAAAATAAAGCAACAAAGAAAACTTCTAGGTTTCCAGTTTCTTGTGATTTTCTGGAACAGTAGAACTGCTGCCATGGAAGGATAAGGGGATTTGGACCAAACTGCCTTTCCTTCCACTTCTCCTTGGTCATGCACTCCAACGCAGAAAAACACTGCTTCTGGACACATGTGTAACACACACCACAACAGGACTTACCAAGAAAGAAAGCATGCCCGGGAAAGTTGCAAACAGGAAGAACACCCCGTACTCCTTGTGGGTGGAAAATATTATGGGATGGATTCCAAACAAGTCCCTGGTGTAAAAGAAAGTAAGAGTCTGCCACAGACCACTTCTACTTAGGATTCCAGTGCTTCTTCTAAAATAAACCCAGGTAACCACTAACCCCTCCTTTTCCTTCTCTAGCTCAGGAGGAGTAAACATTATGGATCTTACGCGATTATAGACGGAGCATCCCCAGGCCTCATATGTAGTATTTCCAAATCCGCATTGACCAAGATGAGGGAATGACCATCGGGGGCCAGGTCCAGACTTGTCAGGACTCCAAATTCTGGCAAAACTTGTTTCAGGTGAAGACTATAGTACAGAAATGTATGAGGGAAGAGCTTACCTCCCTCAGGCTCCACAGCTCCCCATGCATTCCTCACAAATGAAGTACAAAGCAAAAGCACTGCCTTCCCCACATAACCTGCCCATTTTTCCTAGTTTTGATGGTGCCAAGGGTCCAACGCAGGGCCCTGAGCATGCTAGACCAGCCCCTATTTTCCTTTATCGGTATTAGTATTCATCATCCCCTCCCCTTGCTTCCTCAAGCTGGGAACCAATAACATCCTTTTCTTTCCCTTCCGCTCCTAAAGCCAGCTGATCAGTATGCTCTGCGGAGTCTACCTGCAATGCACCCTCCCTCTCCCCCACACTGGTCCCTAAAATGCTAGCTGGCTAGAGACTCGGGGCCTTTCCTTCCTAGACAGCAACTCGTGGTCCCAGACCCCTGCTATGTACCCCACGACTTTGTCTCTTGCTCTTTCTTTCCTTTCCCGCAGGAGTGTGCCCTTTAACCCAGGCAGCGGAACCCAAAGCGGGGGTCCCCGATAACTGGCACCTTGGGAAGGGTCTCCTGGAGGGTTCATTCTCCCACGTGGCAATGTGGAACACAGATGAAAAAAGAGCGATCTGCGGCTGAGGGGGCTCTGAGGTAACCCAACCCGCTTGGAGGAACAAGGGGCCAAGAGTCCCTGTGCCCACAGGGAGAAAACTTTGCAGGCCTGGCTGGGAGGACAGACAGAGCACCTTGCCCCAGGCACAGAAGCCCTCCAATCAGCAATGCAATGGACAGTTTCATGTACGCAAGGCTGGCACCTTCACTGCCAGGAAGATTGGATTCTTTTTGTGTCCCATGGGGACAGCAGAGATGTCATGTCCTGTCTTAGCCCTGGACTCTCACAGGGTCCTGCTCGAGCTTCCATTCCAGCCACCTGCAGGGGGCCCTGCTCGTCCCTGCGCAGCTGCTTTGCTACACTGAGACTCACTGCACATGGGCCGGCCTCCATCACCTTCTTCTGGCCAATCAAGGGAACATCCGCTCCCACACAGCCAGCTCTGCAGGTCTCAGTGAATCCGGTTAAAGAAAAGGCCAGGGAAGGATGGAGAAGAGGGGCCACATTTCTCGGGGGAGTGCGTGTGGCTTGGTGATCTCCCACAGGATCCATCTGTCCTCTACACTCCCCCAGCGTCTTCTCTCACTGAAGTTCTTTTTTTTTTTTTTTTTTTAAATTTTAAAGAGAGTAGTAAATGAGAAACAAACAAAGACAAAGAACAGTAGCAGCATACCTGAAGTTCTTTTTTAAATTTTTATTGATTTACTGATTTATTTTTTTGAGACAGGGTCTCGCTATGTAGCCCAGGCTGGCCTCAAACTCACGGAGATCCTCCTGTCTCACCCTCCTGAGAGCTGGCATTAAAGAAATGCTCCATCATGCCCAGCTTCTTTCACTAAAGTTCTGATCATGAAGATTTGGCAGGGTTGTTCAGGGGCAGACTGCGTGCTTATCATGTGAGAGGCTGTGGGTTTGATCCACAGTATGAAAAAAACCAAAAAGGAAGCAAGCAAGCAAGCAAGAAAAAGAACCAATATCAAACTTCTCAATACTCTCCTTGTTTGTTCTTTTCCCTTTTTCTTTTCTTTTCTTTTTCTTTTTTTTTTTTTTTTTTTTGAGTTAGGGGCACATTTACTAGGATTCAGGGTGTTCTCAAACTCACGATGATCCTCCTGCCTCAGCCTTCCTAATATTGGGGTGACATGATTGTGCCACCTTTCTATTAAGGTCGTCCTACTGTGTCCTGTACAACTTGGTCTCAGTTTATCTTTTCAATCTAACCATCTCCCCTGCTCCTCAACTTCCCCTACTCCTCCCAGGAACCCAAGGTCTTGGCTATACTACAAATTCGCCACACAAATTCATGCTCCAGGCCTTTCAGTAATGCTACGTTTTCATGAAACTCCAACCCCTTCCATCACTGGATTAGAAAGCTCCTATTCATTCTTCTGCCCAACCTCAAATATCAAGTCTTTCCTACAGTTTCTCATATGCTGCAGCCTCTTAACCTACTGCAACCTTCTTTAGTGAAAAATTAAAACCCAACTGGGCATGGTGTTATATGCCTGTAATTGCAGCCCTCTGGGAAGCTGAGGCAGGAGGATTTCAATGTTGAGCCCAGCCTGGGCAAAGTGAGGCTTAGTGAGATCCTGTCTCAAAATAAAATAAAGATCTGGGGATTGTCTTCAGTGTGGCCCTGGATTCAATTCCCAGTACTATTAATTAAAAAGAAAGAATAAAATTCAATTGTGTCTGGTTCACTGGCCCCGAGCTTGGCATGAAATAGACACTTGAGAAGAATTCACATAGAGTGACTGGCCAGGAGCAGAAAACATTCCCTGCTCAATAACTAGCGTCCAGTTGACCCGCTGAGAAGCAGAGGCAGCGATGTGCTGGAACTCCCAGGTAAAAGGAAACTGCATTCCTATCACCTTCCCCCAGCTGCCTGGTTTCACCTGAACCTCCTGGACGTGGAACCCGGCTGCCACTCGAACCCGAGCACTTGCCACTCGCTGATCTTTTCATCATCACTGAGAACGAAGAAGGTGTCTGCTGAGAACCAGAGCAGAGTGCTGACCCGGCCTGGAGCCTGGTGTGTGCAACAAGTTCACTTCAGTCCCTCTGAGGAGCCAGGCTGAGCCTTTCCCTGCCACACACGCGTGTAACCTCCGCCCCAGCAAGTACCATGAAGCGCATGGCCAGGGCAGGACTCCCACGGAGACAGGAGGCTGCCCCGAGTCACCTGCACTGTGGCCACAGCCTTGGCTTCCTGCCACAGGGTAAACTCCCCAGCTTGATTTCCAGACACAGCCACAGACCCTTCGGGGCCCAGGCCACAGCGGTGATGGCCGCGAAACTCCCAGGCGCCTCGGTGTCATCTGGGGAAGAAAGGAGCTGGGCTAGTCCCGTGGCACCCGAGGGGCCAGGCTGCTTCTTTGCCTCAGCAACACAACCCTCTTTCACGCCTGTCTCTGGAGGCCTCACTCACCTGCCTCCTTAGGTACCTGGCAGAGCCGCACTGAACCGTCCTCCGAGGCCATCAGCAGGAGGCCTGAGCTCTCGGAGACAGCAGCCGCACTGACCGGACCGCTGTGTCCCGGGAGGCTGTGTGTCTGTCACACCTAGGAGGAAGGGATGCAGACGCCCCGCTGGGCAGTGACCCACCGGGAAGCCGTGCTCCGTACCCTCTCCACCTCCTTCGGCCCCAGGGCTTGCAGGACACTCACCAAGAGTGGGTGCCACAGCCGTGCAGCCCCATCCAGCCCAACAGTCACCACCAGAAGCTCTGAGCCAGCCTGTCTGGCTGAGAAGACAAGGAGACAGAGTGAGGAGGAGGGTAAAGCACGGCACCGGGGAGAGGCAGCGGGAAGAGGAGGCGCTGACACTTCACCTGTGCAGGGCTCCAGGGCAGCTGCGCACTGGCTGACGGGTCCCGAGTGGGCAGGGACGCTGGTCAGCTCCACACCTCCAAGGTCCCACACTTTCAAGGTCCCGTCCCAGTCCACAGACACCACGTGTTCTCCCTGCACCCAGAACACAAGATCAGGACACTCAGGGAACTGGGACTCCCTCTACAGAGGGGAGGGCTGAGCACCCGGGACTCGGAAGACGCCCACGAATGAGGAGAACTCAGGCGCAGTGCGGCTCATGAGGGCCGCGATCCTGCCCCGTGGTCCTCACACTGCGACGTGCTTTTCACATCCCCATCTCTGCTTCCCACACCAGCGCTTAACCCCGACACCATCCTCGAGTCCCAGACACGTCTGTCTGCCCCGCCTTTTGCTTTGGGAGTGCATGCCCAAAGCATCAGCCCCCCGAAGCCCCTGCAGGCTCCCGGACACCCCCGGGGGCCTCTCTGCTGCTTTCTCACCACAGCCACCACGGCGCTCACAGCACTCTGGTGACCCAGGAACCGACCAAGCTGCTGTCCCGACCTCGGGTCCCACAGCCCCACAGAGCCATCACTGGAGCAGGAGATCTGTGGTCAGAGGAGAGGGACAGGGCTCTGGGCATCCCTCCCGCATTTGGCTGTGCTCATGCTGTGTCGCAGGGACTGGAAGCCTTCCGATGAGGAACAGGGTCTCCCCCGGGCTAAATCCAGCTCCTCCATGCATCGCTTTGTGATGTGCGGCAAACTCATCTCTCCCAGCCTTGATTTTCTGTTTCTCAACAATCTAAGCAAGAAAACGATGACCTACCCATCGGGTATGCTTGTTAAAGAGCTGGATGCATCTCTAGACAGGTCTCAGTGCCTGCCTGGTACATAGAGCACATGTAATAGTCTCAGTGGTACTTGTCATTAACATAGTGTCAGTCAGCAACTCCAGACAAGGGCAAAAACCCGCAGTGCTAAGTGTGGGCTGTGATAGAAAAGATTACAGTGAACCTACTGGAACAACAGTCACTCCTGTCTCCTCTTTGTGAGGACAGCATGGGACCCGACCCTGGGAAACTCGACTCCGCCAGCCCTGAGTCCGTAACTTGAGACTCATGTTGACCAAGTGTGGCAATGCACGCAGACAGCGCAGTTCAGGTCTGCTACACACTCAGTAAGTGCTAGCTTTGCCTACTGTGGTGGACACGAGAAAGGGAATAAAATGGAGCGTTTTGCCTTCCTCCGGGAGTCCTGCCAGGCTCTGTGCCAGTCCACGCCTTCACTCACCAGTAGGCCATCTTTGGTCCAGGCACAGCCAGTGACCCAGTCACGGTGACAGGCAGGGAAGGAGCGAATCAGAAGAGGGGTCTGTGGTGTCCTCACGTCCCAGCAGAGGAGACTCTGGATGGTCCACGGAGAGCGAGGCCTCAGCACCACAGGGAGCGGGCAGGAGCACCAGGGCCACGTGGAGCAAGAAGCTCCAGGGAAGGGAGGAGTGCGACAGCGTGCAGGAGGACAGACTGGCAGGAGACTCGGCCCAGCGAGAGGCAGGAGGAAGCAATGGGAAAATGGGCTCCGAAGGAACCTGGCAGCCAGGCTGCGCTGGGAGCCGGGCATCCCCACCCTCAGCGGCTCACCCGATCCCTGCCGCCAGTGGCCAGGCTGCCTCCGTCCACGCTGAAGCTACAGCAGCTGACGGGGCCCTGGTGTTCCCGGAGCTCAGCACCACGGGGCAAGTCTCCTGCTTTGTACTGCTGCATCAGCAATTGCTTTGGCCAGAGCCGCATTGTGAAATCCTCTGCATTGGAAAGAGAGGAAGGCTTCCTGAGAGAGGACAGAAGAGAGGCCTGGCGTGGGGGACAGAGGCCACCATGGGGCCCGGGGCGATGCCTGAGGCAGGGCTCCGGGAGAGGCAGGACCTGAGTGACAAGGATGTGGGAGGCCCTGGGTGGGACCTGTCCTCTGGAGAGAATGCTCACCACTCGCAGCTCCAGCTCAACAGCTGCAGTCTGCAGTGTGGCTCCTTGTCACTCCCAAAGGCCCTGGCCAGCTTCCCCCACGCCACTTCACACAGCTCCAGGGTCCCTTTTCCCTGAGAGGACCAGGCCACTCTTCCTGTCACCTCCCCATCTCTAGCTCTTCGCAGGGAACCCACCTGCTTCCACAGCAAAGTCTCCCTCCCGCGGGCAGAAATGCAAAGCAGTGAGGGGAGTTTAGAGCCCCAGACTGGGGGTCAGGGAAACAAAAGAAACTGTCTACAATGATTATGGAGGAGAAATGCGTCCAGAGCCCTTTGAAATGTGTAAAAACCACGCCTATCCACACGCTTTCAGGCACACGCACGCATACAGTACTAGTAGAAGTATTAGCACAGGGTGAAAAAGAAAGATTCAGAAGACCCTGCCCTGCTCAGCAGTACCTGAGGCAGAAGCCAGGAGGTGCTGGGAGGTGGCCAGTCCCAGCACCGGCTTCTGGTTTCCGGGCAGGAGCCAGAGGCACTGAAGGGCACTTTCCTCTAGCAGCCAGCCCTGCAGGCTGCCGTCTTCTGCACCGCTAACCAGCACCGTGGGGCTCTGCCAGGCCAGAGCAGACACTGCCACGTCTAGCATTCGACGCTGCGCCCACCGGGGACCTGGAGGAAGAGACAGAGTGAGGAAAGACACTCGGAGCTGGACAAGGTAAGCGGTGCCCGCCTTCCAAAGCTGCAAAAATCCACCCGTTGCCCCTCAGTACCTGCAGGGACTTTGTAGATCTTAATGCCCTCCGTCCGGTACCCAACTGCCACCTGCTCGCTGTCTGGGCTGAGTGCCACCGAGAGGGCAGGAGAGAGAGGAACGGGGCCCAGGCTTCCCCGGGGCCTGCCAAGAGAGCCTGACCACACCTGAACCTGGCAGCCGAGAAAACAGATTAAGCATATCCCTCGGCCACCTGGTCCTGCACCCAGACCACGGCCACCCCGTTAAGGTCCACCTCCCCGAGATTGGTGAGCGCTGCCACGCACATGCCGCCTCCTGTCTCGGGCGCTCCGGCCTCCCAGCTCCTCTAGCTTCCTCCACACGGCCCCTCGCTTGCCCACACCGTCCCAGCCTGTGCTACGCCCTCCTCAGAGCCCACCCTAAGCACCTGCCGACCAGACCTTGCCGTCCTCTCCAGCCCTCAGTAACTGGCTCTGGGAACGCGGGAAAAGCACAGCAGAAACAAAGCCACAATGGGCAGGGAAGGTGGCCAGCCGTGCCCCCTCTTGCCAGGCCCACAGCTCCACCGTCCCGTCCAGCCAGCCTATAACCACAACCCGGCCAGGTGTGCTGAAGGCCAAAGTCCTAACAGAGGCTCCTGGGGCCCCCAGCTCCTACATGGGAAAGTACATATGGAAAGACCAGGGCTCGCTTTCAGCACAACCCAAAGTGACATGGCGGCAGGATGCGCACCCCTCACTCCTGCCCCCTGTGCTTCCTCCCCAAGAGCTACCGGGCGTCTACCTTGGTGGCTTTGAGTCCATCCACCTGGAAGAAGCTGACACTGCCTGCCCAGCTGCCGGTGGCTAGTGCCTGCCCCTCTGGGTGGAAGGCAACGCAGTCGAGGGGCTTGGCACAAGTGTACTGGAAGGAGAGCTGCCCGCAGACTGTGTCCCACAGCTGTAGGAGAGACAGCAGAGGAGTGGGGGCTAAGTACAGATGCGGAGCTGCTCAGCCTCACAGCCCAACGCCACCTCCTCCAGTCCCTTACAGTAGGAGGCAAGGGCTCCCCAGCCAACCAGTCAGCAGCCCAGCCACGCTGAGAGGACAAACCCGCAGGGCTGACCCGCAGTAGGGTCGCTTTACCTTTAGGCACCCTCCCAGGCACACGGTGGCCAGCAGCCGGCGGTCAGGGCTCAGGCAGCAGCCCGTGATTTGGAACTGGTGAGCCTTGGTCTGCAGCACCCTGTCCCAGGAAGACAAAGTCAGGCCCTGGGTCTAAGTGGCCATGGCCCTCTCCTTGTTCCTTTACCTCTGGGCTTCTAACAGGGAAGGGTCTCACTCAGAGACATGGGGGACCCCTCACCGACAACCACACTGCAGGTCCCAGAGCTCCAGGAGCCCATCAAAGGCAGCAAGGAACAGGGCATTGTCCGAGAGGAAAGCGCAGGACGAGATCCCACCACAGCCACTCACTACAGACTTCTCCTCCTGTAGAGCAGGACGGGAGGCCAGGCTCAGGCCACTTCCTGACCCTGCATGTCCAACCACTCCAGCCCCAACCGAAACTAAGGCCAAGGCAAGAAGGCCTGGAGCTCCCGGCTCTCTACAGTCCCAGCCCAAACCATGCACCAGTGGAAGTCCCGATCCAAGTCAGCCTGGCTCTGCTCTGCTCCAAACCCCACACCTATCCCCGGTCACAGATTTTCACAGTCTCGGGGAACGCAGTCGCACGAATGCACATGCAGGGGCTTGGGGGTGAAGCGGGTGAGGAAAGGAAGGAGTGGCCGTGGCAGTGGGACTCCCCTCCTCTCCCTAATGTACCACTGCCCTCCCCTCACCCCCGGCTGTGGTCCTTCCCAGCACCATATGGGGAACACTGCCCTCGGTCTGTGCTGCGGCTCCTCACTCACCGGAGGCCTCTCTTCCGGCACCCTACGTGTCTGCTTCCCACACAACCACATGCGCTCCAGGACGGCAGAGCGTGGGTTTGGTTCCTGCCTCACCTTGCACGTCTTCTCCCCAGTCTGATTATGGGACGGGCAGAGACAGTGAGCCACACAGACCACTGCGCTTCTCGTCCCTTACAGGGCTGTGATGGGCTGGGTCTGGACTTCCGCCCAAAGCCTCGTGCAGTGCAGTGGGGGTGGGCTTTTCGGGGGCGGCAGAATCTAGAGTTTGTAACCGATTCACAGTCTGATACTGGGATTCAGGGTGGGACTGCTGCACCCGCCCGAGGGTGGGCAGTCTGCGCACAGTATGAGGGATGGAAAGGGTCTTGCTCTTCTCTCCTGCTTCCCTCGCCTTTGCTGTCTTCTGCCACCACAAATGGTTGCCTCGCTGCCCTGAACCGCCCTGCCTCGGAGCCGCCCGATGATGGACTGAAACTTCCACAAGCTGTGAGCTAAACGAACCTTTCCTCCTTCAACACGGCGTTTCTCTCAGCAAGGAGAGAAAGGTAACTAAGACAAGGCTTACAATAAACTCTGGGCGGTAAATATTGGCTGTTTGGATTTTTCTTTTCAGCCTTTGCATTGAGCTACATCCCCAGGCCCTTTTGTTTTTATTTGTGAGACAAGATCTCAGCAAGTTGTCAAGTGGTGCAGGCTGCACTCTTTTGGTCCTGCTCCAGCTTTCCGGAGTGCTAGAATTACAGCCGTGCACTCGGCTGTGGGATTTTCTTTTCTGACCAAACCCTTGGGTGTGAAGTGAAAAGGGTCAAGCTGCTCAAGCAACCAGGGAGATCATCATGTGCCCAGCTGTGAGGGGCTGAGGGTTTTCTGCAGGTAACGTCTGCCCTGTCTAGAGCGTCCTACCTGCCAGGTTCTCAGGTCCAAAAGGTACACCGTCCCACTGGCAGTGCCCACAGCTGCTCTCTGTGCACTAGGAGAGAAGGCTACAGCAGTGGGGGAGGAGGGAATTGCCAGAGACCGGCTGCAGCTGCAGGAAGAGCAGGAACAGAGAAGCAGTTAGGAGAAGAAAGCAACTGGAAATGTACTTCTGCCCCTCTGTAGCGGAATCCCCCTCTCCACGGTGATGGAGTCCGTCCTTTCCTTCTGGTTCACAAGGGCCGCAGCCCTTCTGTGCTCCAGTTTCCAGGGCCTGCAGCCACAGGTCTCACCTCCGCGGAGCCCGCACGCCCTGGGGCTTATTGAGCCATCGCAGCATGCGCGGGAGGTGCCCTCGCTGGGACAGCAGCAGGGCCTGGCTGCAGACAGGTGAGTCTACAGGCTGGTTGGCCGCCTGCTGGTGCAGAAGTAGTGGGTAGCGGCTGAGGACTGGGGCCTGCTGCCACAGGAAGGTGCGGAAGGCTGCAACATCAGCCTCAGGGAGCTCTTGCTCCTCCTCGGGGACTGAGGAAGCTAGAAAGAGAGAGAGGCACAGAGTCACTGGGGAGCCGGCCAGACCCCGTGACCCAGAGACCACAGCATCTGATGGGTCTGAAACAGGCTCCAAATGTGCTCGTGTGGCCCACGTGAGAAACACTTGTGTAAAGTACCAGAATGCTTTGGGCCCCTGCCGACTGAGGGAAGCAGAATCGGGGGCTCTCAGCATCTGCAATTTGAACGTTTCCTAGATGATTTTTCTGCCCAATGATTGAAGTCAGAACTTGTGACCCAAGAGGTCTCAGTAGAAGGTCTCCAGAGAATCACTGGCTCACCCTCCCACGTTCAAATTGGGGGAGAAGCCTGGCTGGTTTTTCCTGCTCCTTCTCCCGCTCAGCAGGGTTCTCGTGAGCACACTCAGGAGCTGGTGCCTCAGAGAGGAAACCGTCCAGGGTCTCGTCTCACCATAGCAGGCATGCGCCTCCAAGAGCTGGGGGAGCAGGCCCACGTCCAGGTGTGCGGCCACCACGTGCAGATTGCTGAGGAACTTTGCCAGAAGGGCACAGTTCCCGCTCTGGACCTGGGGAGGTCGGGGGTTCTCATCAGCAGTGGGAAGAGGCGGTGAGGAGCCAAAGGGAGGAGGCGCCTTGCACTCCCAGACCCCACCCCTGCGGCCCGGACCTGGACCCACTTGTGGGACAGAGGACCTCAAGGAGGATGGGAAGCGGGAAGGGAAAAGGCGCAGGGAGCTTGGGAGGGAGGGAAATGGCCGTGGTCATAGCGGTAGTGGTCAGGGGAGAGAGGTCGAACAACAGCCCAAGAAACCAGGCGTGGTGGCACACTCTGGTAATCCCAGCACTCCTCGAGGCTGAGGCACGAGGTTGGCAAGTTCGAGCCCAGCCTGGGCAACTTAGGGACTGAGTGAGACAGTCTCAAAGTAAAAACAAAGGGCTGGGTATGCACCCCAGTGCGGGGCCTGGGCTAAATCCCTAGTATCGCAAAAACAAACGAGTAAGAATTGCCAAGAAAGTTGCTTGGGAAAGGTGCCTGTGGGATCTGGGGGCTGACCAGGTGGTAAGGCAGGTCTCCCAGGGCCTCTGGAGGACAATGTTGGAAGGAGCCTGAAGCGTCGGGGTCACATGTCTTCCAGAGCAGAGCTGGAAGAAAGCAACCGAGTGCCAGGCTTAGCGGCACACACCTGCAATCTAGCACTTCCAGGCGGAGACTGAGGATCACCACAAGTTTGACGGCAGCCTGGGCTTCACAGTGACTTCCAGGCCAGCCTGAACTACATGGCAAGCCCCTGTCTCAGAACAGAAAACCAACAAACACTCCACCAAAACCAGACACTGAGAAGGGCTCAGCCCTGCAGCATCCTGAACCTCACGCCCCTTGGGCTGCAGCAGGGTTATCCCCCCTTGAAATGGCACAGGTTGTGGTCACAGACAGGGGCACCCGTGGCTGGTTCTGCCCACTAGGTGCAGGCCCCAGACCTAGTGCCCAGCCGACTGGGCTGCGCTCACCTGCAATAAGGACATGTGCCGTGTTCTCCAGCCCTCGCCTCTTCCCATAGCGACGCCTGACTGCTGTCTTCAGGGCCCCATCCGGGAGGCGGAGGCGGGCACCAGGGCGCTCCAGAGGGCCCTCTCCTAACAAACTGTGCCCAGGAGAATTGGACAGAGGAGCCGGGAGGAGAGGACAGAGGCCAGTCAGGGAACACCCTGGCTGGGTGTTGGCCTCATTCCTGCCTGGGATGGGACAGGGCGACCGGAGTTGCATCTAATGCGGAGCCTGGGAGGCAGCTGTTCGAGGGACCCCAGGCAAGGAGAGACAAGCAAGGGTCCGGGCTCAGGGATGGGAAGGCACAGTGGCATGGGCAGTGGGAGCTGGGCGGGGCCCTGTACCTGCGCAGGCTCTGCACGAGGTAGGCAAACAGGCCCATGGGGTAGGGCTCTCCACTGTTCGCAGCAGCCAGCGCGTCTTCCCAGCGCTCAGCCCCCTTGGGCAGATTCCGCCATGCACTGAGCACTGCATGCAGCTGCTCCATAGTTAGACCTGAGAACCCAGGCTCTCTGAGGCCCAACCCAAACCACACAGCGCTACTTTGCCCAAGACACCTGGTCCCGCCTCGCCCTGCTGGGGGAGATCCCAGCTGAATCAAGGCACCCAAGCCCTGAGAACCTCCGCCTCCATCCTGCCCCAACCACTGACCACTGTGTGTGACTTCCAGGGTGGCCAGGGCTTGTGGAAGGACGTTGTGGCCGTGCTCCTGCTCCAGGGTGCTCAGGGTGTGCTCCAGCAGCAGGGGCACGGTGGCAGGCAGGGCGCGAAGTCTCTCAGACACCTGGCAGGGGAAGGAGCCCAGCCTTCATGGGGTGGGGAGGGGCAGCAGCGGCTTGGGCAGGGAAGGGAGCAGCAGCACAACAGGGGGAAGAGAGACAGGTGGAGAGAAGTGGGTGCGGGTGACGCCAGGATGGGGACGGGCGATCACAGATGGCAAAGGTGAGGGAGGGGGATGAGGTACGGAGCCCAAGGAGCTGGACAGAGCAGGGGAAGTGGGTCAGGACTTGGCAGATGCGGAGCGACCGACCTGCTCACAGAGTGTGAAGAGCCTCAGGTGATCGGTGACCAGGCGCAGGTAGAGTGGCAGGCCTGACGCCCGCTTCACCAGCAGCAGCTGCATCTGGTGAGGTGCACAGGACTCAGCGTGGGGACCGGGGCGCCCGCCGCAGCCGGCCTCTGTCCCAGCACCAAGCTCACTGCACGCAGCTCCTTCCTGAGAGTCCCATCAGCAGACAGCCCCTGGCAGCACTTTGGGGTACAGCATCCCTCCCCACTCCCGGCAGCCCCTCTGTCAGGACACTTGCATGGTGCAGCCTGCGCCACGGTAAGCGGTTCACTTGCCCAGCCTCCCCGATGGGTGCTGGCGAGGCATTCTCTCTCTCTTTTTTTTTTTTTTGGCTAGGCATTCTTATTAAAACCTCCCCGGTCAAAAGTGCTTGTGAAAACAAAGCAGCAGGCCATGCAGGCCAGGGCACAGCCTCAGCACCATGCATCCCCCCAACCCCCAGAGCTGCCCACAAACCCACCAGCCCAGGCCCAGGCCCAACCTGGTTGTTGGAAGGTGACTCCTCCAGCTGCTTCCCATAAAGCGCCAGCTCCTCCCTCACAAGCTGGGCCCGAGCAGAGGGTTCCAGAGGCCCGAGGGCCACCACGTGGGTACCTGGGCGCTGCTCAAGGGTCTCCCCAAGGCCAGAGTCACTAGACACACTCAGCACCAGGTGTACCCACTGTGGTTTGGGGGCCAAGGAGCAGAAGGCGGGGCAAAGGGAAGAAACCACATGAGAGAGGCCCTCGCCTCCCTAGGGCACCCCTCCTTCCCTCTTCCCTGATGCACCCTAACTTCCTTCTCACACTCACCCGCGGAAGGGTCGTTGGGATCCAATCTGAGGTCAGCTGCCCGTTCTGGTTCACCACCTTGTCAGCCCCATCGATGATCAGCACCAGGGTCTGGCCAGGCTGCAGGGTCTCAGTGCACGTGGGCAGCAGCTTCTGCTGAAGCTCCCACACCAGGCCCCTGTGTGGGAAAGGGCAGCTGGCATCAGGGGGACAGAGAGCTGCAGGAACTGGGGCTGGGGCTGGCGCATGGGGCCGTATGCACCGGTACGTGCTGGGAAGGGCACTCGCTCTGCGCACTTGTCTATGCAGATAGGCACACAGGCGCCTGAGCAGGTTGAGGGCGAGACCCTGGTCAGGGCGGGCTCCTGAGAAGTGGAAGAAGACTGAGGGCGCTACCTTGACTCCATCAGGAGCCCGCAGGGCTGACACAAGGGATGCCTGCACGGGACAGGAGCGAAAACACGGTGACATTTCATGACCTGCATGGCTCCCGTGCCCATCTTCTTAGCTACCCAGCACCCTTCTCCACCAGCCCCCGGTGCGTTGCCCCCGGGACTCATACCAGGAAGGTGGTCTTGCCCTGTCCCGACTGCCCAGTCACAACGCTCAGCTTCCCATGGGGCAGCGTCAGCTGCTGCACTGTGTCCTGAAGCAACTGCGGCCGGGCAGGACTCGGTGGGCTCCGTAGCTCCTGAAAGGCGGCCTGCACCAAGTCATCCTCCGGGATGGATACTGGATGCTCCAGCTCGGGCCCGGGCTGAGGGTACACAGGGCGGTGACTACTCAGCTTTCTTCGCTCCTGATGGACAGAATCCCCACCCAGGAGTGTCCTCGTTCCACTCTGCACTGCTCTGGCCATCAGCACTTCTGCTCACCTCTAGGTAGAGCTTCTGGATCATACTCCACACATCCTGGAGAACCAACTGCCCAAACTCCTCTAACCCCCCGGCATAGGGCCGGCCTGCTGCTGTGCCCCCCCACTCACAGGAGTATCTGCAGGCAAAGCAAACACACTGAGTCAGAGTGGGCCTGGCTCCCCGCGCCACATACCCGGAGCTGCCTGCCTCCCCAAGCTCACCTTCGACAGCTGATCTCTTCCCTTCTGCTGAGGTAACTCTTCAGTTCTGACATCCGCTGGGCAGCCTCCTCAGACTCAGGAATGAAGTCAGGTCTCCAAGTATCTGGCACAGAGCTGACCACCACAGATACCGCAGGAATGAGGCTAGACTCAGACCCCTGCCTCCCACCACTAGCCATCAGTATGCCTGTGACTTCCTGAAACTGAAGCAGGGTCTAGGCTTAGCCCCTAGGCTGGCGTGGGCTGTAAAGGCACGTGCCCTGAGTCCTGCTTCTCTCTGAGAGGAGTCAGCCCACCTCTCCCATACTCAGTGCCACACCTGAGCCTGCCTGGCTGGTGGGGAGGGAGACCTGGCCCTGGGGGCAACGGGAGGCACCTGAGGAAACTGGAATCCCGGAGGTAGATGAAAGCCTGGCAGAGGGCTGCAGGCCTTGATCCCGATTCAGGAACTGCATCACCTCCATCTCCGTCATAGAGCGGCCTGGCGGGTACTGCTGGGCCTGCAGGGAAAGGGCAGAGACTGCAGGTTCAGTCCTAGGTCCCACAACTCCTTCCCTCATGAACCCCTGAGCCTCAGCACCCCCTCGGGTCAGCAGAGTTCCTCCCTCCATCCAAACACAAGCTGTGAAACAGAGCTAACAGCTAACATTACATGCATGACATGTACTGTGAATTTCTGAAACTGACTTGTAATTTTTACCATGGTCCTGAATATAGATGTTCTTCCTTCTCTTTAATATGTGGGGAAACAGAGGACAGGTTATGTGAGGCTGCTTCCCACAACACTTACAAACAACAGAAGGGACCTTAGAACTCAGACCTGCTGGATGGCAAAACCCCACAGACCCACCCTTCAGAGGAGCCTCCTCACGGAAACCCTGCTCACTTGCAGGGTCCTCTGCCTGCACTGCACTCCCAGTGCGGGGCACAGGCCTGTGCAGAGCCCGGGCTCCTGACAAACCGTGCCCCACCCTCAGGTTCCTGCCCAGTCCCCGCTCCACGCTCAGCTGCCTTACCCAGCGGAAGTGAGGACGGTCAGGAAGGTTGTAGTTGGGGGGAACGTAGCCATAGCACGAGCCCAGAATCCCCACGAACAGCTGTGAGTTCTCCACCTCCCCAAGGCACACCTCCAGCTGTCTGTAGGCGTGGTTAGAGCGACATGTAGGGGTCACCGGGGCTCCGGGCAGGGAACACAGGCACACAAGCTGAGTGACAGGGCGCGGGCTCACACAGCAGGGGGAAGGCAGGCCGCTCGTGTTGGCACCAAGAACAACTCCCTCCCCAACCCTCATCTGTTCCTGCAGCCCCGGCCCTGCCTATCTGGGTTCCGCCCCTGGAAGCCCTCTTTCTTGACCCGGCCCCCCTACCCGCACCTGTTCCTTGGGGTCTCCTCTTCAGTGATGCCCCAGCGCAGGTCGATGCTGCGAAGGCTGATGCAGTGGGAGGCGGCTCGGGCCTGCAGTGCTGGCAACACGGACCTCAGCAGCAGGTCCCGCTCCCCGTGCATGTCCCGGTAAGTGGAGGAAATGAACAGTCGGATGCTGCGCCAGCTAGGGTAAGTAGACAGGGAGGCTCAGCCTGTGGATCGGGCCCTCTCTCAAACCCACAGGCACAGCAGAGGGTGTCGTGGGAGACTCTGTAGCATAAAATGCTGTGGTCTCAGCTGCACAGCCCTGGGATCTAAGACTCAGTTGCCATTTCTTCTGTACCCCTCCTTGTTCAGCCAGTCATTACATTCATTTATTCTTTCTTCACAATACTATTTGGTACACACTCTTATAATCTCCAGCCTACCCATCAAGAAACTATGGCTTTGCCAGCCTTGCTCATACGGCCTGTAAACCCAGCGACTGAGGAGGCTGAGGCAGGAAGATTGTGAGTTTGAGGCCAGGCCAGACAACTTAGGAACACTGTCCCCAAAAACAAAAATTCTAGATAAAGAAGAGCCGCTCAGGCCCAAAGCTCACATGAGGGAAGGAATTATTACGACTGGAACAGAAATTAATGCAATGGAGACTAAGAAAACAATACAAACAATGAACTGAAGAGTTGGTTCTTGGAAAGATTAAATAAAATCAACAAACTCTTCGCCATCCTTATCAGAAATGGAAACCAATGACTGAAATCATGCAATTAGGGATGAAAAGGGAAAGATCTCAACAGGTGCTGCAGAAAACCAGAAGATCACCTATACCTACACTTTGGGGACTTGTATTCTAGTAAGATGGAAAACGCAGAAGAAATGGACAGATTGCTAGATATATATGAATTTCTGAAGCTCAGTCAAGAAGATAAAAAAATTCTAAGTATACCAACATTAGTCAATGAACTTGAAAATGTGATGAAACCTACCAAAGAAGATAAGCCCAGGCCCTGACAGAGTCATTGCCGACTTCTACAAGAAACTTAGAAAGAAATCTCAATCGATGCAGGAAAAGCATTTGACAAAGTCCAACAGCCATTCATGATAAAAACCTTACAGAAAATTGGGATAGATGGTCTTTATCTCAATCTGATAAAAGCCACCTATGGCAAACCACTGCCAACACCATATTAAATGGTCCAAACTACAAACCTTTCATTCTAAAATCAGGAACAAGACAAGGATGTCCACTATCACCGCCCTTACTCAATATAGTTCTGGAACTATTAGCCAGCGTTATTACACAATACATAGGAATAAAAAGGATAAGGATAGCAAAGGAAGAATTCTAATTATGTGCAGGTGACATGATCCTTTACATAGAACACCCCACAACTCCACCAAAGGCTTCTAGCTTTAATGACCAAATTCAGTAGTGTAGTTGGACACAAAGTCCACACTCAAAAATCTATTGCCTTCTGGTGCACAAATAACAAACTCACTGAGAAAGAAGTTAGATGTTGGGGACTGCAAATTCAAAACTGACCAGAGCCTCTGGGGAAGCCCTCCTGGCCCTGCCAGTTTTAGCAGAAACCCGCTTTCTCCTGGTTACCACTGAGACTTGATGGTCAACGAGGCTGTGGTGCTCCCAGGGAAGGATGAGGCCTGCTGACGAGAGGACAGGCGGGGCAGGGACCCAGGTGTGGGCATGGATCGTCCTTGTTTCTCTTCTGACATTAAACTTGCCCTCACCACCACTACTTCTACTCTGTCCCAGGAAGAGCGCCCTGCTCTTCTCTGTGCATTGGCTAGTAAAATAGCAAGCTGGACAGTCTTTGTTTTTGCCAATCTTGAGGTTGACCTCCCAGCCCCCAGTTATGAAATACTGAATTTGCTTCTGTGTTTCTGCATCCTGGGCCATACCCCTGAGACAGGCAGTTGGGGATCTTGGACAGGTCCCTGATAATTAGGGAAACAACACCTTTCACAATAGCATCCAAAATTAGGAAATACCTAGGAATCAATCTAAAGGAAGACACCTCTACTTTCAAAACTGCAAAAACTCTCGAAAAGGAGATTGAAGAGAATATCAAAAAATGGAAAGCTACCCCTTGCTCTTCAGTAGGAAGAACCAATATACTGAAAATGGCCATACTTCCAACATTGTCATACACGTTTCATGCAATCCCAACTAAAATCCCCACAGCATATCTCCCAAAATTAGATGAAAAAATCCTGAAGTTCACTGGGAACCAGAAGAGACCTAGAATAGCAAAGGCAATTCTGGGAAACTAAGGCAAGGCAGAGGGCATCACATTTCCCAACTGAAAATTACACTACAAAGCTACTGTGGCAAGAACAGCATTGTACTGGCCAAAAAATAGGCCCATGGGTCAGTGGAACACATTAGAAGATGCACGAGCAACTCAAGGTATGCTGAGCCACCTAAGCTTTGTGAAAGCTGCCAAACATATTCCCTGCAAGAAGGGCAGGCTTTTTAATAAATGGTGCTGGGGAAAACTGGCTTTACCCAAGCCAGTGGCAAGGACTAAAACTGGACACATGTCTCTCACTATGCACTAAACTAAAATTGAAATGTATCAAAGATCAAAACGTTAAAAGAGAAAGATTAAATCTGCTGGAAGACAGCACAGCCAGAAGTCTTGAAGACACTGGTGTAGGCAAAGACTTTGTAAACAAAAGCCAGTAAAACGAAACCTATCACAAAGCATCAACAACTGGGATCTTACCTTATATTAAAAGCTTTTGCGTAGCAAGAGAATCAACAGACTGAAGAGACAACTCACAGTGTGGGGAAAAAAACTGACAGCTGTTCTTCAGACAAAAGACTACTGCCTACAGTATATAAAGAACTCAAAAACATCGGGCCCCAAATTTAAAGAGCCAATCCACAAATGGGCATCTGAAATGAACTGACACTTCTTAGATGAAGGAACAGCAAAGGCAAATAAATATATGATAACATAGAATGACACCACTGGTCATTCGGGAAATGCAAATTAAAACAATGCTGAGATGCCGTCTCACCTCAGAATGAATGGACATTATCAATAAGTAAACAGCGAATGTTAGCAGGGCTATGGGGAAAAGGATCCCTTCTTCACTGTTGGTAGCAGTGTAGACTGGTGCAACCATTGTGGAAATCCGTGTGAAGATTCCTCCAAAAACTAGGACTAGTGGTCCCATTTGACCCAGCTCTTCCCCCTTTGGGTATCTTCCCAGGAGAAGTGAAAACATCATACCATAGCGATATGTGAGCATCCATGTTTATACCAGCACAGTTTCTAAAAACTAAATCTGGAAAACAGGCCAAATGCCCATCAACTGATGATTGGATAAAGAAGGTTTTCTTTTTAATACAATGGAGTACTACTATGCCTCAAAGAAGGATAAGCTCGAGACATTGCTAGCTAAATGGATGAAAGGTGAGGCCATTCTCTTAAGTGAAATAAATCAGACACACACATGAAAGTATCACACTGGTTTTCTGGCGTGAGACAACAAAAGGGTCAATAAGCCTTAAGATATATAATAGGTATTATGAAATTAGGAATACAATATTCAAATGTGAAGGGCAGCTGGGGAGGGGGAAGAGGGAAGGAAGGAAGGGAAAAGGAAAAATATGATGAGAACACAAGGAAAGCTGAAACAAACCTTTTATAGAGAGGGGAAGGTGGGTGGAGGGAGGGTAGTGAGATGGGGGAGAAAAAGAATCAAGTTGTGTACCGTACAGGTATGAGTTCCTTATAATGAATGCAATCATTACGTATACCTAAAGTGTGACAATAAACGTAATTAATAAAAAATATGGGGGCTGGAGGTATAGCTCAGGGGTAGAGCTCTTGCCTACCATGTGTGAGCCTCGGGGTCCAGTCCCCGGTACTGCACACAAAGAAACTACAGTTTTACAATCTAAGCAATTGGCCTAAGGTTCAAGCTACTGTTTGGCAAAATCAGGATGAAAAAGCCAGAGGCTGAGCTCCTACATGCTTTGCCTAAACCCGGGCGCTATGGTCACAGTGCCAGCTGCTTTCCTTACAGTTTCACCACCCTTTCCCCAGCAGAGAAAGGTGCGAGCCCTCAACATGACTTTTCTAGTGCTAGAGGACCCCCTGCCTGAGAAGGAGAGAGCACACCTGAGTCACTAGGACGATGGCATCTCAACGGACAGGAGGTCAGTCAGACGGTCTCCCCAGACACACAGACGCAGACTGACCCATGCTGCGACACAGGAGCCACGGGGCCGGGAGCGTCCTCTTCCAGCGGCTGGAGAGTCGGGGCCTGTGTGTTTCCCAGGGGAGGTGGTATCTTGAATATTTTGTCCATCTGGCCCACATGATCTAGAAGACGTGAGGCTCCACGCTCTGCAATGAACCTGAGAACAAAGTAAATGAGATTATTAGATGTCAGGACCAGAAAGCTCTTCCAAGGGCAGGGAGCAAAGCTATAAGCAGGCCCAGTTAAAATAAATGACACCACAGCACCACGGGAATGGGCGGAAAGAAACCCTGCTCCAGTGCCTCTGCCTGTACACGGCAATCATGAAGATTTCTGGAGGACCAGGGGAAACTGGGCTGGGCTATGGTGTGGAGGTCAAAACATCCCGGGCTGGGCTGTATCGCCTCTGACCAGCCGTGAAAGCCCCAAGGGAGTGGATGTGCCTGAGGCCTCCTAATAGGGGTTGAGGCCAAATGGTGGCATCCAAAGGAAGAGGCAGGGAAGAAGACAAGGAAAAGGCAAGGAGGCGAGGGGGTGAACGCCTGGCACCCCAGCACACAGGGAAGCTGAAGCCGTCCGACGGCAAGTTCAAACCAAACCTGGGCAATTTAGTCATTTAGTAAGGCCCAAAGTTCAAAAAAAAATTTAAAAGTGTTGGCCATAACTCACTGTGAAGGACCTAGCATCAATCTTCAGTGCCACATTAAGAAAGAAAAACAAAGACTAAACCTGGAGAAACAAAGTCAGTCATTTCTGCAATTCAGCAAAAGTAGAGGGAATTTTCTTTGGATCAAGAATTGAACAGAGGCCACAGAGTGTTTGCTCAGCTACTGAGTTGTTTCCTTAAAAACCAGCACTGTAATCCCCCGTGTGCCCTTTCTCTTTTCTCCTGGATCTAATATAAACTTGGCTGGATACAAAGATGGCTGGAGCTGAAACAGCCATCCCGAGCCGTGAGGTAGATGCTGTCCAGGATGGTGGAGCAGTGAGACAGCAAGTGCCTGCATCCCTGTAAGTCAGTGTTGCTGCTAGGACTAGTGAATCTTAAAGGAAGAACACATGCTATTTTGCTGTAAGAAGGAGGAGAGGGCACAGATAATCTCTCACAGACATTCTAAGGAAGGCTGTCCATTCCCTCCAGCGTCCATTTTGCACTTACTTCACTATTCCGTCTGTACAGCCTGACAGTCAGGTCATTGGGATTCCAAATTTCGTATCTGAGAAAGGAAAGAAGTCACTGAGCATCAGAAACAATGACTGGGACAGCATCCTTGCCTGAAAAGCACAAGGTGGGTGCCCAACTCCCAGGGCTGCACTTCTAACAGGGTTGGATGGCTGGGAGGTAGCACAGTGGTAAACCACACAGCCAGTGGGCACAAGGCCCTGCGTCCATTCCCAGAACTGAACACACAAACACATACACACACACACACACATACACACACACACACAACCATGGCTGAGTGCTGGGCTAGGATTAGGGTACACCTGGACAAATGGGGGGAATGAGGATAAAGATTTCAAAGCAAGTTCTGGAACATGCAGTACACAGGAATTAAGAAGGTACAGAGACAGGAGGTGCCAGAGAAGGGGGATTTGCCAAGCTACCGCAGAAGAGGAGAAACCTGAATCACGGCCTTGTGACACTGGACAGGGAGCTCAGGCATCCTTACCGCTCTGTTTTCTTTAGGTGGACACTAACAAAGAGACATTTGGGATTCACATGCTGCCAGATAATGTATTTCGTTGCAAATGGCATCCAGCTACTTTGCATGTTGGAAAACACGACAGCCCTGTCCACCTGTAAGACAAGAGGGCAGCTGAGCCCAGGAACGGGGAGAAGAGACACTAAAGAGCTCAGGACATCACAAAAGACACCCCTAAGAATGGGAGATTGGAAGAACTCTGAGGGCAGTGGGAAACTGTCTCTGTGGAGAATACTTAGGAATCAAGGAAGGCACTGGATTCTGATTCAGACATCGCAGGGTAGGCTGGGGAGGGCAAGTGCTGTGCTACAGCCGCTCATTCACACTCACGAGAGCTGACTGTTTCACTTTTAGGAATTTCATGGCCTTGTTGTTGAACATGACCATTTATTTTTTATGTATGCATGTCTGTATTTATTGATTCAGTCATTCATTCACTTATTAATTGGTGCCTAGCATTGAACTCTGGGCCTTGCTCACGTTAACCACATGCTCTGCCATTGACTCACAGCCTGAAGAAACACGCTGCTTTTATACATTAAATTGTGTACGTTTAGAATTAGATAAAGGGCTCTTGGCAGTAGGTCTGAGGTAAAGCACTTCCCTAGCACACATGAGACTGGGGGTCTACTCTCCAGCACCACCAAAGTGTTACTCAGGTATAAGTGACCAAGTTAATAAACCCTCCACATCTGGCACTCCTGACGATCTTACTATACTTTGTTATTTCCACTCTCGACCTCATGTACCTCCCTGCCAGTGATGTGGGACGACGACACAGTGCTGGGCGACTGAGCACTTGTTCCCCACTCTGTGCTCAGGGACATGACGTTGGTAGCCTGAAGTCAGCCACAGAGGGGCCATTCACACCATGGCAATTAGCAAACACGACTAAGCAAGACCGATTTCTCCAGAATGCTGGTGCTGAAATCCCCTACACCACAGGGGACCAGCATGGAGCCATCAGGGAGCAGATCTAGACGCTGTGCAAACTGGGAAAGATCAGCTCTGAGAGGCCAAACACGAGAGGCATCATTCCTAGAGGAAAATGGGGCAGGAGGGGAGAGTCACAGGGGCTGAGAAGTACTCACGGGGACCCTTCGGATGGCCAGAGACAGCAGGTGCTTCTTAAAAGTATCCAGGGGCTCCTCGTCCCCCTCCTCTAACTCCTGAAGGAAAGAGACTCATGTCACCAGTTGGTTGCACGTGAGAGAAGCAATGCTCGAGTTCCCATATGGACTGTTGTGTCCCCAGGGTTTATAGGTTGAAATTTTCTGTCATAAGAAGGGGCTGGAAACTCCATCCAATGAAGGTAGGAAGAGGTGGGGCCTAGAAGGAGGTCCTGGGGGACTAAGGCAGCCCTTGTGAGACCCCTAAGGTCTTGCATGAACAAGTTCTTCTAAAAGCCCAAGCCTGACCCAGGAATCATTCTCTGGCTTTCCATCTCGGGAGATGATCTCCTCCTCTCACAGGCCCCAAACACAATGAGGGCCTCACCTGGGCCAAGCTGAGGCCTGCCATGCACTCGGCATGAAATAACCCTGTTTTCCTTAAGCATATAGCCTGCCTGACATGTTTTCATTCAGCGAGAAGGGACACACTAACACAACCAACAAACAAGAAACACCACCGTCTGTTGGGGAATCTTCAACACTGCATATTGAGGCCTGTACTATCTGGGAGGCTGCCAGGCCTGTGCACACTCCTACACTGGGAGGTGGTGGGGGTGGGTGTCCGATCTGGACTTGAGCCTGCAGTTTGAGCGCAGTCTTCAGGATGCATCCCTCAGCCACAAGCTCGGCCGTCTTCAGAGTGCCGCTTCCACACAGCGTGACCTCTGCCTGCTCGGCCCGCGCCACCATCATTGCCATCAGTAGCAGCACATAGTTCATGGGAGGCTGGTCGGATAAGCATCAGGATGAAATAAAGGTCCCTTACTCTCAAATCCAGTCTTGTCTACCCAGCTTGGAGGCCATGCACCTTCCCTGGCTTGGGATAATGGGAAGGAGGACAAAATCTGCAGTGAGGAGCGCTCAGCTCCTGCTGCCCTCAAGAAGAGCTGTGGGGAGGAGTGGGGAGAAGCCAGCTTCCCTCCCCAAATCCAGCACTGGGGTGCAGTTGGATGAGAGTGAGGTATACTTTTATAAACAGAAATTTAGTACTAAATAGTAAGTACTGCAAGGGGAAATGTTAGTGCTATAAGCCATAAACAGGATCCACACCACGTGCTAGGGATTCTCCCTAGGCAGCGAAGGGCTGATACTTGGAAGCAAATCCACATTATTCCTTTTAATCTTCGTGTCTCTGTGGGAAACTAGGGCTGGGGTCAGGACACCTCTCAGGCCCCCCAGCACCCTCCCAGCCCCTCGCAGCATGCTTCGGCCGTTTACCCCCTGTGCGCTGCTCTTGGCACAGAAGTGGTCTGCATCGGCATCGGTGAGGTAGACCAAGAGGGTGCGGCCCGGCAGCGGCGGCAGATTGTGCTTCACTGAGAGGTTCACAGCCACCTGCAGGGCCTGTCGGTACCGGTCCACCAGCTCAATGTCATATTTGTGCTGTCTGCAGGCCAAGAAAGACACAGACACAGTCACTCAGGGGCTTCTCGGCCTGCCAGTATGGGGCAGTCAGGAGGATGAGAACTCCACACTCAAGTCCTGAGTCCTCTCCCTGGACCCCTCCTCAAGCTCAGCTTTGCCCTTCCGCACGCAGCCCCTCTGCTGGGTACAGCAGCTCCCTGAGGCCCTGTTCTGTGGGATCCTCTCTTGACGCCCGGTCTCATGGCGGGAGAGGGACTCACCAGGAAAACCACCCTGAAATCACCTGCCACACTCAGCACACTAAGCCCCGCTCACTTCCTGAAGGAAGCCTGAACGGCCATATAGTTTTCAACTGCAGTTTGTAGAACACTTGTGCCTCATTTCTCTGAGCATCTACTCTCCACCCTTGAGTGTATCCTTCATCCATTTCTAATAAGACTTTCTCCTGCCTCTTTAAAGAGAAAAAAAGAACAAACACTAACTGCTGACTCTAGTCACTGGCAATTAAGATAAGAAACAGTGGAGAACATTCATTCCACTTTCACTATGCCATGACTTTATTAAGGTAAATGAAAAGTTTAGCGGATGAGGGCAGCTCATTACTTTTCCAGCTAAGCAATATGACAGAATGATGGAAAGCTGCCATTCTGCAACTACCAATAAATCAACAAGTTCAAGCAAGCATCTTAAGAAATCAGCTATTACCCCCAGCGAAGACATGAGGCTGTCAACCTCCTAAGAGCATTCATCAATTTTAGCATCACTATGAATTTGCGCCATGAAATACTTTGTCATATAGATACATGTTAGAGCCGCCATTATTAGGGATGGAACCCTAGGATTCAGCCATGCTACACAAGTGCTCCACCACTCAGCTAAATCTCCAGCTCTCTATCTTTTAAAGACAAGGTCTCATGAGGTTAAGTCAGGATAACTTTGAACTTGAACTTGGGATGTTCCTGCCTCTGATCTTGTATTTTATCAAGAGGCACAGAAGTCTGGTGATCTCACTCAGTCTGTACAGGATTGCCCTTGAAATTCTTGCGAAAAGAAAATAAATCAATGTATTATAGATGGACAGTTACTTTCCATAGTATATCAAATAGAAAACAAGCAAAAAGATATCATGATGAAGTACATCAATCCAAATATGGGACACTAGGGGGTGGCACTTAACCTGCCTTCCACAGCAACACAGTGTTTACAAAAACAAAGATTCAATGAGATTTAAGAAATATAAGAACCACCTGGGGGTGGTGGTGCATGCCTGTCATCCCAGCACTCACGAGGCTGAGGGAGGAGGATCACCAGGAGTTTGAGGCCAACCTGGGGTCTACAGTGAGTTTAAGGCCAACCTGAACTACATAGTGGGTCCCGGGCTCAAAAAAAGAAACAAAGAAAAGAAAGAAAGAGAAAAACAAAGAGAGAGAGAGAGAGAGAGAGAGAGAGAGAGAGAGAGAGAGAGAGAGAGAAGAAATATAACAATGCAAAATGTAACTAAATATAACTAAATATAACAACTAAATATAAAATGTAACAACTAAATACAAAAGACCTTGTTTTGTTCCTGATTTGTTTACAACTGTGAAATGTCATTTTTGTAACAACAGGGAAATTTGTAGATGAACTATACAGTAGGTGATAATACCAAGGAATTATTTTCAGCTTTGTTTGCTATATCATTGACATTCTGATTATATAAGAAAATGGACAATTTTAGAAGACAAGAACGTCATATGCAAGGGTAAAAGAATATGTCATACTCTTTGGCATTTGTTTTATACTTATGTTCAAAAACGAGGGGTCAGCAAAAGAAATGGATAAAATAAAATCATTCGATCTAGCTAAAAAGGTTTGTTTTTATTTGTGTCTTTGTTGTCTCTGAGACAGGATCTCACTCACTCTTCAGTCCAGGCTGGGTAAAGGGCTGGGGGAACAGGCATGTGCCACCACACCCAGCTTCTGGGTTCGCTTTATAAATCGCTCTGCGTTCAGCCACTGATGAAAAAGATTCCTGAGTACTGAGAATGACAGGTGAGTCATTGAGTCACATGAGAATGACAGGTGAGTCTTGTGCTCATCTTGGGTAAAAATGGACGTAGGATATGCTGAAGTGCATAAGAACTGACTCATCATTCATAGCCTCTTGTCTTGCACATTCACTGAACTTCTCGGTGCAAAAGAACTCAGAGCTTCGGGGCTGGGGATTTAGCTCAGCGGCAAAAGCGCTTGCCTGGCAAGCGCAAGGTCGTGAGTTCGGTTCCTGGTACCGGAGAAAAACCAAAAACCCCCCCCAAAAAAACTAGCTCAGTAAGAACTCAGAGCTTCACTTGATCCAGCAGACAGAACAGACTGCACGCCTGTCGTTAGGCCTGCTTGTGATAACTACCTTTATGTGTGTCAAAAGCAAAAAGGTGAGGGGGCCAGAAATACAGCAAGAGAAAAACAAAAACACGGATGTCACAGAGAAGAGAAAGGAAACCAAGGAGCTGCAGAGTCCAGAGGACACAACACCCAAGCACTGAACGGGGGGTGACACACAGACACAGAACCCATGGGAACCAAGAAGATAAGAACAGCGGCAGAGTGGAGGCCCAGGCACAGCTTTGGTTTCACGATCTCTAGGAGAATGTTACAAGACAGCATCGGCTGTGCTGAGATGACTGGAGGCAAGCAGGTATGAGGCCCTATGATGACTGCCAAGCATATCTTTACAGAAAAATACCTCAGAGTTCCCAGATGAATCCCAGCCCACCAGCACACCTCCTGTCACCCAGGCGTGGCCCCTGGATGACGCACACACACCTGGCCCTGTGTATTTTCAGCTTTTCCTGCTTGAGCTGCTCATAGATCACCAGGATCATCATTGCTGCTCGAAGCTTCCGGCGACTCAGCTTGCAAAGATACCGTGGATACATCTTGATACGTTTTGAGTTTGTTATCATTTTTTTTTTGGTTTTTCTCCGGTACCGGGAACCGAACTCACGACCTTGAGCTTGCCAGGCAGGCGCTGTGCCGCTGAGCTAAATCCCCAGCCCCTATTCCCTTTTTTTTGTTTTTTTTTTTTTTTTCAGTACTGGGAATTGAACTCATGACCTCGCGCTTGCCAGGCAGGCGCCGTGCCGCTGAGCTAAATCCCCAGCCCTGAGTTTGTTATCATTATCTGCCTCAGCAGCCTTGTATTCGAAGGAAAGGGCACTGCTGTGGGGTGACAGACACACAGTCAGGCATCTCCTGCTCCCACATCCCATCCCACCAGTGATATCCTCTGAGCCCAACCCTCCAGGCCGGCTCGAGTCTGGCCTCTGCCCAATGTATGCCCAGAATCTGCAAAACAAGAGGCTATGAATGATGAGTCAGCAGGGCCGCCTCATTCACACAGGAGAGGCAGACAGGGGCTGCTAGAGGGCAGATAATACCTTGATTGTGGAGTTGAGCCCCGAGGCCATCGATGGCATCATGGGCATTAAGGAATCTGAAGGGCAACACCCCACTCTGGATCACAGACTTCTGCAGTGCAAAGGAGGATCATGACCACAGGGCCGGGGAGGATGAGGCTACCAGGGCCAGAACCACGAAAAGAGGGTCACTATTTGGTTAGGTCTGTGGGAAGGGAAGGAAGGGGACTGTGGGGTTAGAGGAGATACAGGGAAGAAAGCAGGAAGAAGGCATGCTAGAGTAGACAAGAGGTAAGCAAGAGGAGTAATGAGCCAGGCGAGGTGGGGCCTGCTGTAATCCTAGCCCTGGGAGGTTGAGGCGAGTTCAAGGCCAGCCTGAAGTCCGTAGTGAGACCCTGTCTCCCACAGAGAGGAAGCAACAGAAGCAGCCCCACTTCTCTTGGAGCAGACTTGCTGTCAGGGCAGTTCACTGCATACCGCGTGCTGGAGCCGCTGGAGGACGAGCTCATGGTGGTGGGCGCTGATTCCCACCCGCAGCAGGTGGCACAGGTTCTGAAGCATGGCCGTGAAGGGAAGCTTCCCGCTGTCTGCAGGAGGCGGGCACAGGTGAGGGGAGCACAGGAAGGAAGGGTGAGAGGTCAGAGTCCAGGGAAGAACTTCAAGGAAATTTCAAGATGCAGACTCACCACGTGATCTATCCAACCCGAAATGGACAAGGATGAAGCCAGTATGGGCCGGACGCATGCAGCAAGATTTACCCAACACTGTTCATGGGACAGCAGATCAGTACATCCTGACCCAGCTCTTTGTATTTGATTGTGAGACAGGGACTTGCTAGCCTGTCCAAATTGGTCTCAAACTTGTGATCTTCCTGCCTTGGCCTCCTTAGTAGCTGGGTTGCGAGGCATGTGCCCCCACTCAGCTACTTACTTACTGTTGGTTTTTTGACACAGGGTCTTGCTGTGTCTCCCAGGCTGGCCTTGAACTTAGCTTCCCAACCCATTCCTCATTTCTGACTATAGAATGTTCTTTCTGTTTCCACATTTATAAGCCCTGCATCCATTTTGTTTCCCTTTGCTTCCTCTTTCATCTCTATAAATTTAAAGTCAGTTGCTCTTTGTTGAAAATATGTAGCATTAACCCTTGTGACTGAGTTTTGTAGGCTTCCCATTGTGGAACCTGGGAAGCACTGAGAGAGCTGAGGTGGTGGTAGCACAGCCTAAGCCCGGGAGTTTGAGATTAGTGTGGGATAATTGGAGACTAGCAAAGTCCTGTCTCAGAAAAGAAAGGGCACTTATTTGGCTGGGGATGTAGCTCCGTGATAGAGAATTTGCATAGCATGTTCTCAATCCCCTGTACCACATGAGAAATTCACTAAAAATAAGAACTGTAAAAAGAGAACAATAAAATAACTTGATTCTCTTGAATTTAATTGCTTTATCAGTGTGATCCAACTTTTTTCTTTAATTTTTTTTTATCAGTGCCTGTCCTTAGTAGAAAATGTTTACATTTCCTGCGGGGAATGATTACCTGTACATAATACATCTATTTACCTAAAATTTCCCTATCCTACATATGAGATCCTGGAGAGATTCTAACATATCAAGAGCCAGCCCTCCCTTTTTGGGAAGGTACACATCGGCATACATGCAATAAACACAGAGCTGCTGCTTTTGTCATACACTGATACGCTGGTGTGTCAGCCTCCTCATCAACACTACTCCACGCAGGCACCACTGTGCACTCTGTGTGGTCAACCATAAGCCTTGCAAGTCCAGTCATTTTCAGTGGTGAGACTATCGACCAAGAGAGCAGCTGTATCCTGCCATAGAGACATCGCGCTCTACAATGCGGAAGCAAGAATGGAGCAGACAGGAAAGGACCAGGAAGATCAAGGTTACCGCACCGATGAGCTGCGCCCAAGCGGATGCTTTGCTCCCCCGAAGGCTCAGCGCCTGAGACCAGGTCTCTGGTCTCGGCAGCTTCATGCATTTCCCTGCTCTGCTTGAGTCCCAGGGCCCAGGGAGACGACTCTGAGAAAAGAGCTGGGGGCTGGAGGGGTACCTGAGCCAGAGGAGAAAATGCCCATTACTTCAAAGCAGAAAACAGCAAAGGAAAGGTGAACTCGTCAAAGCCATGTGTCAGTCACGTTTACAGCCCCTGCCTGCCCAGGCTCCTGCTTGGGAACCATCAGGACAGGGGCCGTGGAAGCTGAGCTGCAATGGCATCACCTCAGTGGAACGTGGGCTCAGGGTGGACCTGCTCACCTGTAGCCCAGCAGGGCTTGGACATGCTGGGCAGGCTCATGGATATGCAGCCGCTCTACCAACTTCTTAAGGGTGAAGCCTGGCGGATTCTTTTTCCCCACCTCAAACTGTGGAAATACCCCAAGTCCCAAGGGTCATTTCATCCATGATCAGGGATCTTCCCCAGAAAGCAGAGCCTAAGACGTTCTACACCTCTTAGGCAATCTCCTTGCCCAAATTAGATAGCGAGACAGGGTAAAAATCTCCAGCAACAAGAGCTACCATGTTGAGTAAGACTGCCGCACACAGGCAGAAGCAGTGGCACAACTACTGTCCTCACTACTCCGGAGGTTGAAGCAAGAGTACGGCTTGACCCAAAGAGTGGGAGGCCACGTGGGGCAATGGTAACACCCTGCCTGGAAAGAAGATATGCTGCGGATACTGGAGGCAGAGCTCAGCACTACTGCACTCGCTTGGCATGCATAAGGCCCTGGGTTCAGTTTGTAGCGCTGAAAAACTAAAGAGCGTATCATTATCAATTAAGGGTCCCAGTGCTTCCCTCACACAAGATGGAACTATCGGGGTTAGCGTGAGGTGGGTGGCTGGTGAAAACAAGATGGAGACAAAATGAGCACAGAACACCCTTGTTCTGAGGAAAAGAGAAAGCAGCTCCTATTTCAGGCCCTGAGGCCCTGGTCAGGTAAATGGAGGCCATGGAACAGTGTAGGCTGTGAGGGATAAAAGGCAGGGAGCATTTTCTAAGCTACGGGAGCCCAGTTTGGCCTGCATTCATAGGATGAATAGAAAAACCAGTGACCTCCTAAAAATATGATTTTTTTCCTGTAATGCTGACATCCATTCTCCTAATAATATGATTTAATAATGACAGGAGCTTACACTTTTTAAAGCTGAATACTAACAGAAATACCTTAACTACCTGAGTTCATCTTTACACCCCAGGAGTGTAAGTCCTGCTATTTTCCCCATGTTATATATGAGGAAAGGGAGGCAAGGGAACTGTGGTCATTTGACCAAGGGTGCGACCCCAGGTAGTGGAAGTGAGATACAAACCCAGTTATGGCAATCCAGATTCTATCCTCCTAACCGCTAGGTAAAAAGGCTTATTTGTCATAAAACTACAAACGATTTTGCTTGTTTCTCAAACTTCCCCAGAAGGTACTTATTTCATACTGTTCACATCTCATTTATCCCACTAAACACACCACCTGTCAGTCACATGCAGACAGAACTGTACCTGCACACATGCAGTTCCAGGAAAAGGACTCACCTTTTTCTGTACTTTTAGAATAGGCCACAGGTACCTTGGAAAACACATTCTCTCAGAAAATGAATGCTCCTGTGGGATCGGGAGAAGTGGTTTCATACGGGGAAATGGAGACTGTCCCTGGGGGAAAACCCTTGGAAAATCCTGAAGGTCCACCTCTGACAGAAAGGAAGCCAGCGAGGAACAAGGCCTGCACTGCTCCTTCTGCCCCGCACTCTTCCCAGCATCCCAGGGCCTCTCCGTTAGATCCTCTCCAGGAAACCCATCAAATGCGAGGTGTGATATCCCTGGGACCACCATGCTCCCCTACTGCTCCCTTCCCAGAGGAGGGGCCTGTGCCAGGAGGAGGCAGGGACTCACTGGAGGTTGTGGTGGCCTGCGGTGGTGTCTCTTGGCATGGTGCTTGGGCAGAATGTACTGAGCCAATTGGTACTCATCAAACTGAGCAAATTTTTCAGTCATAGCAGCCCGCAAGCAGGCAGGCAGTGGGGCCAGCTTATTCTCCTCTCCTTTAGCCAGTTCCTGTCAGAGACAGACGGGGGTGGGGGAACAAAGAGAGAAAGAGAGAGAGAGACAGAGAGAGAGAGAGACCCTCAGAAGTGACACCCAGTGAAATCCTCCAAAAGAAAACAAGACCCTAGGATATTTGAAATTACAGAAAGCTAGCAAATTCCTGTCTCCAGCTCTGCACACACAATTTCTGATCAGGTCTGGTAGCACACCTGTAATCTCAGCACTTTTGGAGGCTGAAGCAGGAGGATCATAATCTTGGGCCCCTCCTGAAGTAGGAGGACCACAAGTTGAAAATCAGCCTGGGCAACTAAATGAATTTTAGGGACCCTATCTCAAAATAAAAACTAAAAACAAACAAAAGAGCTGGGCACGTAGCTCAGCACGAAGTCCTTGAGTTCACCAAGGAGCAAAGAGCTACTGAACTACAAGATGCGGCCAGCAGGGGTGTCTCTAGGAAGAAGACCAAACTTTCCTCCAAGGAGAAGTCAGTCTCCGGTGGGTGTAAGGAAGAAGCTGGCAGCAAGTTCAGTGCTAGGATAAAGGAGAAAAAGCTCAAAACATCATCCCAGAAAGACTAGAACAGATATTCCCTGGGGGTGGGAGCAGGGTGTGACCCTACGTGGTATTTCCCATTGCACTCCCTAAACCCCAGTCAATTAAAAAAAAGGACTTGGGTTCAATACCAGGTAACACAAACAAATACACATGCATGCTCTCTCTGTCTGTCTCTGTCTCTGTCTCTGTCTCTGTCTCTGTCTCTCTCTCCCAAGCACACAGGAAAGAGAAGAGCGGAAAGGACATGAGCGGAGAAAAGGAAATTTCCATGGCAGTTGGCAGGTCAGCCCTCCTCTCTGATTTTCATTTTCCCCATTGCAAACATGAGGTCCAGAGTTAAGATCAATCATTTCTCAAACTGTGGTCCAGTCCTACCCTCCTTTAGGCAACGCAGCCTGGTACGGGAGAAGCTGTCCCCTGTGGGCTCTGGCTGGGAAGCTGAGGGGAGGCAGACTTGGCTGAGAGTTTGCTTCAGATTCAGACAGAGAAGACAGGCAAGCCGGGGGTTTCCTCACTCAGGAACTGAGTTCCGCACCTGGTAGAACTCCGCGACCTGGATCCAGTCGGAAGGCGAGTGGACGATGGCACAGAAATAGCGTCGCAGGTGGGGGCGGCAGGTGGGCAAGAAGGCAGCAACGGCCAACACCCTGTTGGCCACGTCCTGGAGGTTCAGCTGATGCCTAGCGTACAAAGATGCCTAGGACACAGGGCGAGTGTCTCAGCCACCTCTGCTGTAGCTTCCTGATCTAAACTAACTCATTTTACTGAGCCTGCCTGCACGAAACCTTTCTCTAGCCCTCTGTATGCAAAATATAACCATGGCGTCTAGCCTGCCCCTCTAAATCCTCCCTAGTCTAGCCCAGTGAGGGTAAACCTTTTATTTTGGTTATTTTCTAAACATAAAAGAAGGAAAACATTAACAAACAAACAGACATAAAAAAACAGCAGCAGAACATTAGAAGAAATACAGAATTTTGGACAAGGTGATAGGACATCAACAATGGTTATTGTAGTATATATTGTTATCTTCAAATTGGTTACTCGGTGAAACAAATAGAGGCATGTAAGATTGATCAAACAATTAAACATTAACTGTTTCTTTCAATAAAGCAATCGAAATTAGTAGTACAATTATCGTAGCTATCTTGTGTATACACATACACATATTTTCCCCTTCTTTCTTTGTTTTCTCCTTTCCCTCATCCCAGTTCTTTCCTTTAGAGCAGTTTCTCTCCCTTTCACAATATCTATTGTACCTTTTAGATTTTATTCACTCCTTCAGGTTCTTACACTAGTGAGACAATGTGGTATTTACACCCGCAGGTCTGATTTATTTCACTTATGAGTATGATCTCTAGTTGCATCCGTTTACCTATGAAAGCCTCGAGTTTATCTTTCTTTTTAGCTGAGTAATATTAAATTATATAGAAATACCACAGCTTTTTTTACCATTCCACGGTTGATGGGCATCTGGGTTGCTTTCATGATTTAGCTATTACAAATTGTGCTGCTATAAACATGGGTGCACATATATTGCTGTGGTATGATGTCTTCAGTTCTGGAAAAATATCCAAAAGGGAAATAGCTGGCTTGAATGGGACCTCTAGTCCTAGTTTACAAAGGGATCTCCAGACTGATTTCCACAATGGCTGCACCAGTCTACACTCCCACCGGCAGTGGCATAGGGTTCCTTTTCCCACACAGCCTCGCCAGCATTTGATATTGGTTTATTTCTTAATGATAGCCATGCTTTCTGGGGTGAGATGGAATCTCAGTGTTGTTTTAATTTGCATTTCTTGAATGACTAATGATGTTGAACATTTTTTCCTGTATTTTTTGCAATTTCTATTTCTTTATCTGAGAAGTGTGCATTCATCTCAGATACCCATTTTTGTATTGGGTCTTTGAATCTGGGGAGGGTTGTTTGTTTTTTTTTTTCACTTCTTTTTACGTTCTAGATAGAAATTCTTTGTCCAAGGGGTAGTTGGCTGAAGTTTTTCCTCAATTTGTGGGTTTTTCTTTTAGTCTACTGGTGATATCTTTATATGTGCAAAAACTTTTCCATAAGATGAGATCCCAGTTGTTGTCGTTTTGAAGTATTTCCTGTGCAGTTTGGTTTTTTTTTTAGGAACTCTCTGCCTACCCCTATGTCTAAAAGATTTCTACCTACTTTCTCTTCCCATAGATTTAATGGTTCTGTTTTAATATTTAGATCTTTAATCCATTTTGACATTAATTTGGTGCATGGTGATAGACATGGGTCGTTTCCGTCTTTGGCATGTGGAAAGCCAGTCTTTCCAGCACCATTTATTTATTTATTTATTTATTTTGGTACTGGGAATTGAACTGGTGACCTTGCACTTGCTAGTCAGGTGTTTGAGCCACTGAGTGATATCCCCAGCTCTTCCAGCACCATTTATTAAAAATGCCATCTTTCCTCAGTGAACTTGTTTGGGCCTTTTCTCAAAGATAAGGTGCATGAGTGTGTCTGTGGTCGTGGCTGCATCTTTCACTCTGTTCCACTGATCCTCAGGTCTGTTTTTTTACCAGTACCATGCTGATTGTATCACAGTGGCTTCTGTAGTGTAATTCCAAGTCAAGGATTCTGATGCCACCTGACTTGTCTTGGTTGCCCAGGATTGCTTTTGTTATTCTAAGTCTCTTCTGGTTCCAGATGAATTTTAGGAATGTTTTCACTAAATCTATGAAGTATACTAATGGTACTTTAATTGGGATTGCATTGAATCTGTACAACAATTTTGGGAGTATGGCCATTTTCACAATGTTGGTTCTTCCAATCCATGAGAAAGGAACATCTTTCCATTTTCTGAAATCGTCTTCCATCTCCTTTTTCAGAATATTGATGTTTCCATGGCAAAGATCATTTACCTCTTTCATTACACTGATTCCTAAGTATTTCAATTTTTTGGATGCTATTGTGAAAGGTATGATTTCCTTAATTTCTCTGTCAGTGGGTATAAGAATGTTATTGATTTCTGACTGTGGAGTTTGCATCCAGCTATGCTACTGAATTTGTTGATTAATTTTGGGGGGGCTTTTGGTGGAGTTTTTGGGGTCTTCCACGTAGAGCATCATGTCAGCTGCAAATAATGACAATTTCACTTCTTCCTTTCCTATCCTTATTCCTTGTATCTCTCTCTCTTGTCTAATTGCTCTGGCTAATGTTTCCAGAACTACGTTGAATAGGAGTGGTGACAGTGGGCATCCTTGTATTGTTCCTGATTTTAAAAGGAAAGCTTTCAGGTGTTGTCCATTTAGTATGATGCTGGCTGTTGGTTTGTCACAGATGGCTTTGATCAGATTGAGGTAAAGACCATCTATTCCTGTTTTTGGTAGGGTTTTTATTAGGAATGAGTGTTTGGCAAAAGCTTTGTGAAAGTTTTTTCTGCATCAGTTGAGGTGATCATGTGGTTTTTGGCTCTCTTGATACGGTGTATTACATTAACTGATTTGCGTATATTGAGCCATCCCTGCATCCCTGGGATGAATCCCACTTTGTCAGGGGGATAATCTTCTTGACAATTTGCTGAATTCTGTTTGCAAGTATTTTATTGAGTATCCTGTCCTCTACATTCATTAGGGAGATTGGTCTGTAGTTCTCTTGTTTGCTTGGAGCTTTCTCTGGTTTTGGTATCAGCACAATACTTGCCTCCAGAAATGAGTTAGGGAGAACTGCTTTCTTTTCAATTTCATTGAAGAGTTTGAGAACAATTGGCATTAAATCTGCTCTAAATTTCTTGTAGAATTCAGCTCTGCATCATCAGGACCTGGGCTCTCTTGGTTGGTAGGTTTAAATCACATTTTCAGTTTCATTAATTGACACTGGGTTGTCCAGGATTTTTATATCTTCTGGATTCATTTTTGGTAATTCATACTTATCTAGGAAACTGTCCACTTTTTCTGTGTTTTCCATCCCATGGGAGTAAAGATTTTCAAAGTAGGTGTTGATGATCAACTGAATTTCTACAGGATCTGTTGTGATTTCACCCTTTTCGTTCCTAATTGAATGAATTTGAGTATTTTCTTTCCTTTTTTGATAAGGTTAGCTACAGGTTTATTAATTTCATTTATTCATTCAAAGAACCAAGTCTTTGATTCATTAATTCTTTGTGGTAGCTTCTTCACATCAATTGCATTAATTTCTGCCCTGACCTTTCTAATCTCCTCCCTTTTTTGGGTGGTGGACTTGCCTCGTTCTCCTTCTCCTAAAAGTTTGTGGTGCAGCATTAGGCTATTTATCTGTTCTCGTTCTGTTTTCCTGATGTGTGAGATCACTGCCCTGAGGACTGCTTTCATTGCATCCCACAGCTTCTGGGGAGTTGTATTTACGTTTCTGTTTGTTTGTAGATACCATTTAATTTCATCTGTGACCCACTGGTTGTTCAGGAGGCTATTATTTAATTTCCATGTGTTTGTGGAGTTTTTGTGGTTCCCTTTGCCATTAATTTCCAATTTCATTGCACTATGCTCAGATAGCATGCATGGCATAATTTCAATTCCCTTGTATTTACTTCATCATGTTCTATAGGCTAGTATGTTCTCTACTGTAGAGAACATCCATTATGCAGCTGAGAAGCATGGGTATTCTGATGTGGTGGGGTGGAACATTCTATAGACATCTACCAAGACCACTGGTTCACAAATTTTGTTCAGTTCTGTTAGCTCTTTGCTCATTTTTTTGTCCAGTTGACCTACCTCCTAGGGTGAACCTTTTAAAACTTTCAGTGAGATGTACCGTCCTCTGCAGCACAAGTGCCACAGGTTCACCATCCCTGGTCTATCCTTTATTCTCCTCTGCAGCTTCCTTTACTCTGACTCTACTGTCAGGCCTCCAAGTCAACCTTACCTTGCTCTCTTCAGAAGACTGCTCCTATCAAAGTCTATCAAACTTACCAAGGGTTTCAATCACTGGTTAAACCTGCCATCTTCCAAACCCTCCCAGCAAACACCCAGCACCTTTGCTGCTTTTCAAACACTGTCAGCTTTGAAAATCCCACAGCCCTAAATTGCTGTAAGATCACGGTATTGTAACCCCGAGCTCTGGATCCAGCTGCTTTCACGTGATATTCTGGAGTGACATGCCTTCCTCACAACACTCCAAGCTCCCCCAGAGCCAGCTCATCTGTTACTATGATGGTCAGCATGCTCGGCCTGGGTTATGAGGCAATGCAAGCCTAGTATCCTTTCAGGACCTCATCTTTCTCCACTCTTCACAGAACCCCAGGAATGAGTCCTCAAACTCAACCAGGGATCCTTGCCCTCTTCTAAGGGATGTTGCTCCCACTTGCAACCACAGCCTAGTCAGCCCCATCTCACACACTGTCATCACATTCCTGTCTCCCAGCTACCCACCCCAACCCCTCCGTCCTCCACAATACCTTGAGGATGAACTCGGGCTCCAAGGGGGCAAGCGCACTACAGATTTCAAGGATGAAACTAGTGATGTCAGCTGCATTTTTCATCTTTTCATTTGAGACCATGGTAGAGCATATTAAACTCACCAGTGTCATCTAAGAGATAGAACAGGAAGGAAAGAAAGTGTGAGATAACAGATCAACTTGAACAGCTGTGCAGAGCAACTTACAAAGTCTAGACAAAACAGTGGACCCAGGTTCAGAAAGATACCTGTCCACTGAGAGGTTAGAGAAGGAGATAGGAAGCCAGGCACAGTGGTACACACCCCCAATCACAGCACTCAGGAGCTGGGGCAGGAAGAGCACCATGAGTTCAAGGCCAGCCTGAGCTTCAAGGCCAGCCTGAGCTACACGGTGAGTTCAAGACCAGCCTCAATTACGTAGCAAGATCTGTCTCAAAATAACAAGGAACCAAAAAAAAAAAAAAACACTAAAACTAAAACAATAAAAGGATTAAGGAATGAGAAATAAATGCTGGCTCATGTCAGCTTCTTCCCCTTCCTCCTGTGGAGGAGAGACCAGGTTCAGCTTTCCAGCCCCTCATGCCTGCACTGTCAAGCTCTCCCCAACTCTGGAAGTCTCACCTTCTTTTTCTGAATGTACTGGCCAAGGAAATCAGGGTGGCATTCCAACTCCCCACAGGTAAGCTGAGGGACCAGTTCCTCCACTGCTTCCTCTTCTGCCAAGCTTTGGCTATAAAAAGTCATCTGGGCCTCTTCCCCTTGCTTCACTTCTGAAGTTTTCTCTTCTTCTGATGAGCACAGATGACCCTGGGGATAGTGGCAGTTATGAGTCACAGCATGAACCCCTGGCCCCTCAAACTTGGGTTTGGTCTGAAGATCAAAGCAGGTCCCTGCAAGAGGAACGGTTCACATCTCCATATAACATGTGTAAACTCCTCTCTGCTCACCGCAGCCCACACCAGCACTCACCTATCCTGTCCCACTTAGTGCTCGCTCACTCTCATACATCCCTCTTCCTGCTGAGCCTCTCAGCCTTTGCCCTGCGGCTTCCACATCTCCCTCCCTGTGTTCACATCCTTACTAGAGTCACAGCCTCGGAGGCCGGGGACCCCACACCCCTCCAAGGATACTGTTAACATATTTCTACAACCAGAAGACAAAAAAGCCACTGCCGTGTCAGCCTCAGCGGCTTTAAGCTACTTCACCACTCTCAAGCCCAGCTTCCTCATTCACTACCACCTACCTATCTGCTATGGTCACTGGAGAATGAAATGGAATAATGCACTCACTCGACTTTGAAAATCCCAAAACCCTAAATCACTGTAAGATGGCAATAGTTGTAAGGTTGACAACAGATCTGTAAAGTGTATTTGCAGAGATGCCACTTTGAAGGTGAGGAAGTTGGCGCTTCAGAGGGCTCCAAGTATTGCCCAAGGTTGCAAACTTTGTAATTAGCAGACAGTATGGGGCTCAGGCTAACTGTCCCTCAGCCCAGCTTCCAGTCTCCACAGAAGCAACGTGTGCCCATCTCCCAGCTCTGACCTGCACAGTACGCAGTGTCCAGTGGACGCATGTTTACACAGCAATACAGAGGGAACTGAGCTCTGGGATGGCAGTTACGTCCTTGCCTGATCTCAGAAGCACTGGTTTGACCCTGCTGTAGCAATGTCATGCCAGCTCTCTCCTGAGCAGAGGCTTTCCATGACCAAGGGCTGCTTTTCCTGTTTTCTAGATTCCCTGAACTGGAGGAAGAGTCAGGTGGTTGAGGAACAAGGCTGTAGGAAGAGGCTCTGCAGACACAAAGCAGCTCGGGTGGAAACTGAAGCGGAGAACCCTACTGACAACAGCATGCAGCAGACACGTCTTGAGACCGGATGAGTGTCTGGAGCCACTGTGGAAGGGGCTACTCGAACTGTCTCTACCAGGGACAGACACTGAGTCCTCCTCTCCTTGGAGCCTCAGAGAGCAGGCATGTGTGGCGTGCAGGCTGCACAAGTGAGCATGTGTGGTACCTGGAGACACTGGAGTGTGGGGCCGGCAGACACGCTGCTCTTTACACTGGGGAAACTCGGGCTTCGGTTCTCCAAGGAGAGGATGTCTGGGTGGGCAGACACAGGCCCATGGCCTTTCTCCATGGCTGCCATCAACTAGAATGCACCTACAGAGAAACACAGATAGGTGGTGAGTCCTGGCCTACGGAAGGAGCCTCTGCATTGGAAATGAATCTTTTCCCATGATCCCGCTGGTTATAGCAGTGAGCTGAACATGAAAAACAACCCATAATTGTTTTCCACGATTGCACTCACCCAGGAAGGATTCTAAGAGGATTAAAAAGGGGCCAGGCAAAAAGTTTATGACCAAGAAATGTTTTGATAAAGGTATGGCTGGAGAAAGAAGAATATGTCTTCTCATAACGTAGTAAAAGAGACCCCCAAGACTGGCAGTCGGAGCCTAACCTCGTAGAAGGGGCTCACTTATAATCTGGACTCTGGATTCTTAGCTCCAGAGGAACAATATTCAATCAAGTTGTATATACTCAGTACTCCAACTTCTTGTCCTCTGTGTACATTTGTTTTCAACTACGGGACAATGAACCAAGGCCTTCACGCAGAGCAATGCCCCTAATACTCTGTTTTCTAATGTTTTAACTGAAGATCTTGCTAAGTCACTAAGTTGTCCGGGCTGAACTTGAACTTGCAATCCCACTGCCTCGGTCTCCCAGCATGCCGGGATTACAGGTTTGTACCATGAGGTCTGGTTTCTGTTCCGCTTTGTCTTAGTTAATTTTTGGTGCTGAGACAAAATACCCAGCACCCAAAATTAAAAGGGGAAAGGTTTATTTAGTTCACACTTTGTAAAGGTTTCAGTCCATAATCAGCTGACTCTAAGGCAGCGTGGCACATGGCAGAGATGAACAGCTCATGGCAGATGAAGAGAGCAAATGCAACCAGGGAAGGGAGACAAGACTCTTTCTGTCCTTCTATTGTACATGGGCTACCTGCCCTGGACGGGTGTAGCACTCAATCCCTTAATGCCAGCACTGGACCAGCAATCAATCATAAACTCTAGATTCGGCCCCCTCTGAAAAGCCTACCCCACATGACTACATTTAGACTCAAACCATTACACTCTTCAACCAACTATGTGTCCAGCAAACTGTCCTGTCAGATAACTAATAGGCTTGTTGTTCTAGTAGGAATCCACAGATACACGGTAGCTGCTGTCTAATTCACTTCCTAGAGTAGAAAATAGTCCACCATTTGCTGACTCTCTCACTGAAACACTCTTTGGCATCCACAATTCTACTGTCCAGTGTCCTTCTTATAATTCTATGGACATCTTCTTGGGGGTTCTGGCTCACCATTCCCTAACATTAATGTTCTTTATACTTCTATTCTAATCCTTCTAAATAAGGCAGTCTCACTTTCGGTGTGGCTCCAAATACCCTTTCTATCCTGGCATCTCAAATTCATTCCCTGAGCCGCTTTATTCTCCCAAGCTTCATATAGTACTCATTCATCCGTCTGCCTAGGGCACATCTCTACTTGGATGACTTACAGGCACCCTACATTCCAGACATCCCCAAGGAATCATCATCTGGCCCTCACTCCTACTTCTCCCTCAGATCTGTTCCCCCTTTTTCACCACTACTGTTCAGAGGGGTTTGGAGTGAGCCACACCAAGGTTTGACTCCTGGCTCTCACATTCTGTGTCTAAAGCAAGTTGCTTCAGTTCTCTGGGTCTTGGTTTTCGCTCCCCAATACTGAGAAAATGCTGATCTCACAGAGGTGTTACAAGCATAAATACACAAGCTCTTGTGCAAGTGTTTTACGTGTAACAAATATTCAACAAATAGAGGTTATTATTTATTATTATCATCCAAGAAACAACCATAGAATTACTGAGATGTCTCACGACTCTGGACTTGTGTACAGGGAGAAGCCTGAACGCCCTTCCTCTAGCCCCAATACATGTCCCCCAACCTCTCCTTCACCAGGACAAAGGCAGCACACTTTCCTCTCACTGGCACTCCTCACTAGGAGATCCTAGGACACCCAGGGCCACGTTAGCACAGGTGACCTCTCCAGGTTCTCCCCATGCCCGTACTTCCCTTACTGTAGAATGTGTCACTGCATCTCCTATGACCCCCTAGACTGTAAGTTCCTGGGGCAGGATCCTTTTGGCTTTGTTCCCCATTGGCTCTGCAATTCCTAATCAGTACCATTTAGAGGCTTTTGAAAATCTGGAAAAAGCTTCAGAGCTTTTTAAGGGGGGTTGAGCTGGCCTACTTACTGCTTAGTAATCCATTTGCAGGATGTCCTTGGCACGCTGTTCTTGGACTTCCTGATTTCTGTAAGCTGTAAATTAAGGACCTTTCCCTGAGGGAACGCTTTAAATATACCATTAGGAATGTGTCAACTTATTTCTTTGAACCAAAATTTATCTCCCAACCCCTTTTATATGTTGTAGGGAAAAACATTAGTAAGTAAACCCCTTAAATCTCAGTGTATGAATAAGCTTCCAGACAGGAATGGGGAAGAGTTTGAAGAGAACTTAAAGAAAGCAACGATCAGGACCACAAAGAAAAGCTGTAAACTACAGGTCACCAGTGTACACGTTTCTCTCATGAAGCATGGTGGTCCGGCAGGCATGCCGGAGCACACCTGATGCAATCCCAGCACTCGGGGAGGCTGAGGCAGGAGGTCTGCAAGTTCTAGCCTGACCTGGGCAATGTAGTGACTTAGCAAGACCCTGGATGAAAAAACCTGAGGGCTTCTGCCACCTACTGTCCAAGCTGAGGCACAAGGATCACAGGCCAGAAGCCCGCTTGCACAAGGGAGCAAGACTCAGCCTCCAAATAAAAATAGCTCAGTGATAGAGGCCCCTAAGTTCCATCTCCTGTACCCAAAGGAGAAAGATGGCTTCTGAGCATGGCACACCTCCCCACTGACTTTGCACTCTGTGAACCCCCGAAGGAATGGGCAGTCTCAGAACTACTGTAATCCAAGATAAACGAGGGGAGCGCCTCAAATCCAAAGTTCACAGAACCGTAAGGTCTCCGGCTTTCTGCCTGGAGTTTGCTAAGTGAGGCTGGGGCTCACCCTGAACAGTCTCCACCTCTAGGCCTTCCCCAGAGGAAACCATGCTGAGGTCTCTCCTCCCCTCCGGGTCTCCGCTCCCCGTCTGGTCTCTCCTCCCTCCCGCTCAGCCAGAGCCACGACCCCGCCAGCCCGACCCAACCCACCTGGCTGCGCAAGGAGAGGGGACCTTGGCTTGGTCACAGTTCCGTGGCGGGGAAGCAAGCTCAGCGAGTGCGGCGCCCCTGGCCTGCAAGGGTGGAGCCGGAAGTGGGCCGTGGGGCTGAGGGGCGCGGCCAGGAGGGTGGTGCCTCCGCAAATCAAGACAAAAGTTTATACACGTTAAATATCATTTGTTAAATTTTTTTTTTTCTTTTTTGGTATTGGGAATCGAATTCAGGACCTTGCACCTGCCAGGCAGGTGCTTATGCTACTGAACTATATCCTCAGACTTTGTTAGAGTGTTTTGCTATTGTAGGTAAACCTAAAGCAATCAAATCTAACCGTGGATCTGCATAGAAGTCAGGTTCCTGCCAGCACCTCCTTGCCTTGTGGCCTGTCAGTCATTGTACTGGCATTCCACCTAAGCCTCAGGGAAGAGAAATGGTTCAAAGGACACAGGCTACTCTTAAACTCATGTTAACACAACAAAAGGCGGGACACAGGGATAGAAGCTCAGCAAGTCAATTATTACATAAAGCCGTATTCACTTTAAATTTTTTTGATATTAGTAAAGATTCATCTATTACAGCAGCAGAAAGATTTGAGGCCACCTTTACTAAGGAGGCTCTGAAATCGATAGGGCACCCTATCTTCTGGAAAGACATTCACCCTGGATAGTGACAAAAGGTAGTGTTCAAACTTGGCGTTGGGGATTTGCTGGGGTCAAGAAAAAATGTGGTTACCTGCTAGAAGAATTGAACCTCGTCAGGAGCTACAGAAGAGTCAGATTCAATCTGGATCCACTGGTGAAAGAAAGAGAGCAATGTTGCTGTAACACCACACCCAGACTGCAACTAGGAACTCAGAGACCACAACCCCCAGCCCGGGGACAACCTAAGAACCAGGCAAGGGTTACAGCTGGCAATACGATTCCAGCCATGTTGGTTGTAGTTGCCACCACGGTAGGTGCAACCTCTGCAGAAAATTCAACACATCATTACTGGGCATATATCCCAAATTCTCCACTAAATAAAATTCTGGACTGGGCTGATGTTCCTGCACCAATTCAGTTTGATGAATCTAGATGGCTTCCTGCAACATATGTCACACGGGGACCATTTATTCCAGGTGAGGAAGGAACAATAATAGAAAATTATTCTGTGGGGCTTGAAGGCCCACCTATTTGTGTGGGCCATGGAGACCACTGTTTGAAAGTCCAACCCAGAGCTTGGTTATCTACAGTCAGAAATAGTTCTATTTATCATAGTCATGTCTCTAATTTTATTTCAAGCTTGGGCTTTCAAAGGATTGACTTTTGATAATTCCACTCCTCCAAACTTACCACCATGCCATCAACAGGTAATAACAAAAAGTCTGATTGGGTTTATTGGGAGGCATGTAGGCCCAACACAGGCCAAGTTTTACTTAATGCTTCCTGTGGAAGCCTCACTGATTGGAGCCCTGATGGGCCTGATTGAGCAAAACATTCCATCAGGGATCTTAAGTGGAGTAAAGAGAACAATACTGTAAGTGCACAGGCAAACAAATCTATTCTATGGCATGATGGAGGAATGTCAGAACCCCAACCTAAAATACAGTATGGTCCTCCTCTCTCATCTTTGTGGAAGTTAATGTCAGCATTACATCCTTTACATGATGGAAGGTATACTACACTAAAGAAGGAAACAGGACTCAAATCTCTTTTTTCATTAATTCTACCCATTATACACAAGCATGTGTTCATCCTTCTTTTTTTTTTGGTTTTTGGTTTTTTTCCGGTACCGGGAACTGAACTCACGACCTTGCGCTTGCCAGGCAGGCGCTTTTGCCATCCTTCTTATATTATCATGATTGGTGAAGCAAAATGAAATGCTTCTGAATTCCTGCTCAGATGC